CCGGAGGCCGTTGCGGACCCTGCCCTGGCTCGTCGTACTCGGGTTCGAACTCGGGTTCGAATCCGCGCGTCGCGCCCTGTGCTTTTGGTCCTCGGCTGTGTTCTCTTGGTTCCCACACCGCACTGACCCTACTATACTATATATACTACACGACGGCGTACTACGACGTGGCGGCGTGGCCTGGCGGGCCTGGCGGGCCCCAAGGGCTGGGATGCTGGAATGTGGCGCGGCTCGCCACGGCCCGGCGGGGCTCTGGACGGCCTGGATGGCGCGCGGGAACGGAGTGAGCTGCTGCCTCTCTTTCTTCTTCTTCTCCGGGAGAGCTCTGAACCCCTCTTTCCCCCTCTGGGGCCTTCGTCTCTCCTGGAGCGGCGACATACATACCACGCCACCTGGACGTAAACAAAGCTCTCCAGCGCTTGGGCCGGCTTGGGCTCCATGAGGCCGGGGCACTGCCGGGGTATGAACGAACAGACCGAACGAGGCAGGGTCCGGCCTGGAAGGCCAGAAAGGCCTGGAGGCTCCAGGACTGCTCTTCCCCTTCCCCTCCAGCCATGGCTCCAGCCGCTGGACCGGCAGAATGGACGGGAAGGTTAGACCTGCCTGACTGCATTCCAGGTATTTGAGTCCTTCGCTCGGCTCGCATCGGCTCGCCGTGTCTGAGGCTTGACACAAAAGGCAGCGCCCCAAACGGGGCCCCACGCCGCCGCCGCGAGTGCATACGCGGCCCCCGGTGCCCCCGGCGTGTGGGCGTCCCGACGCCGCGTCTCTGGCAGAAATAGGCGCTCGTTGTTGTGCTGAAAAGACCAGACCTATTCCACGGCGCAGCCGCGTAGCCGCGTAGCACCGTGACGGGCCGGCCAGCCGCGTGACGTGCCGTACCCGACTGACAGCTACGCAGCGTGTGTGTGTGTGTGAGAGAGAGCGTGCATGTGTGCGTGTGCGAATGGAGTGGAACGGAAACTGGCGGTCGTTCGGTTCGCCTGAACGACCGACCGGGAAATAGCGGGCCTCGGTGTTTTCAGGCCCGCGCTCCTGCGTCGTGGACGTCGTGGAGGAGGGGGAGGCCGCGCGTCATCGTCAATGACTTCTGGATGCACTTTTGTTGGCACTGCTGCCTGCGCTCGCCGCGCTCGCTGCACGGTGTGCCGGTGTGCCCGTTGGAATGTGTTCCAGCGGAGGGCGGCTGGCGGAGGGTTGGGCTGGGTTGGGCCGCACAGGATCGTCGTCCTGGGTGGGTGCGGCTGCTCGGGGCTCGGCCAGGCTCTCGGCCAGGAGGACGCCAGCCAGAACGCGGTGCGTCGCGGCCGCCGCGGTTGCCGCAGCTGGCGCAGCCTGTAGCCGAGCCCCTCGACGTCGCTGCCGCGGCTGCCGCGCTGCGCGTACGGACGCTGCAGTGCAGCTGCTGCCGCTCCCCACCGCCGCTGCACCGCGCGCTGTGCGGCGCTGTGACCCTCCGCCCCCCCCCCCTTTCCCCACGCCGCCAGGCCCTCTCATGAATGGACGCCGTGTGGCGGCAGTGGCGGGGCGAGGCCGGGCGGGGCGCAACGTAGCGCAGCGTAGTGAACGGCGGCGTGGTGGCCATGGTGGCCCACTGGTGGCCCACTGGTGGGGCGTGGCGGGGCGTAGTCCTGGCCACGTGGCCCCCACTGGGTACGACTTGGTCGTGTCGGCGGGCAGGACATGGCAGGACAGACACTTGCCGGTTTTCCGTTTTCGAGGTGTCCATCGTGCTTCGACCCCCCGCGCGATTTTACGGAAGGGATGCGTATTTTTGGCGTGGCGCCCCCGGGGCGCGTTTGGAAACGGCCTCCACCTGCCCCCGCCCCCTGGGCGAGCGGTGCCGAGCGCCCCTGTCCCTGTCACTCGCTCTGCCGCGGCCAGGCGGCGGACGAGACGGAGACAAAACAAGCCCTGCCTGCACCGGGAGGGCCGGGAGGCTAAGGGGCCGCTCTGCCGCCAAAGCGCGCTCGCCTCAAGTACGTACGTTCTACCGATGATAACCCGTTCCTCCTGGCATTGGCGCGAACATGATGGCGGCGCGAGGTGGGGCGACGAGGCGATGACCGACCCCCTCTCTTCCCAGCCGCAGCGAAGGGGGAAGGGGCGCGCTATTTTTCATAAACACCGCAACATGGCGAAACGCGCTGTTTGGCCGCGGCGCTGCTTCGCTGCTTGTTTGTGCCGCGAGTGCCCCGCGCTGCCGGTGTAGCCGGTGTGGCCGGTGTGCCGGGTGAGGCCGAGGCACATCCTCGCCGGCTCCGCGGGGCTACGCGGGGCCTGGCGGCCTGGCCCTGGCGGCCTGGCCCTGGCCTCGCGGGGCTCCGCCGCTCCGCGTCCGCGGCGTGCAGCGGCTTGAGCGGTTCGAGAAAGGGGCCCCCGCAGGTAGCGGGCTCCGGCTGCCTCGCTGCCTCGCTACATGGTGAAAACAAGTTTGGACTTTTCCTGTAGCGACGCCGGGGCTCCCTGTCCGTCCGTCCGCTCCTGTGGCGGGCTGGCCGGGCTGGCCTGGCTCCGCTTGGGTGTCTTGGCGTGGCGCGGCGGTTATTTGCAGACGCCTTTCCAGGAAAAGCCGCCTGCCTGCGTCCCTGCCAGTCCCTGCGTGCTTGGCCTGTTTTCGGTGGCGTGCAAAGAGGGTGGCGGAGGGCCGCTGCGCGCTGGAGGTGGCGGCGGCGGCGCGCGCACCACGCCGCTGTTGTGGCCGGGGCCTCAAGCAGTTCGGCCAGCCTTATCTGTGCGTCTAGCCGGCCAGCGCGGCCACCGCCACGGCTTATCAATGGTTGCGCCGCGTTGCCTCATTCATTGGTTGTTCGTCCATTCATTTGGTGGCGATGCGCCGATGGGCGACGTGGGAAAGCGAGAGTCCCGAACGGCGACCCGAGTGCGGAATGCTGTCTTTTAGTGCTCCGCCAGGGCTTCGGTTATCTGCGGCCTCGTCGGCCTCATCACTCGGGAAATGAGTCGATGTTCCGTTCTCGGGGAGCGCGGCTTTACCATCGCCCCTCGCGTGGCGGAGGGCGGGGCGGGGCGAGGTTGAAGGGGTTTTGGCGGGAAAGGGGCTACGGTACCCGCCCTGGCTGCCCTGGCCTTTCGTGACGTCGGGGAGCGGCGCAGGGCGGCGGCGTTGGCGTGTTGGAGCGGATGGGGCGGGGCGGGGTGGGGCGGGGCGCGCGGGAGAGACCCGGGGGACTAGACAGCCGTACCGCCTCCATCCCCTACTCGCACCAACCGTGCCTCCGCCTCACCCCCCGATGCGCACAGAACGGACCCCGACCGCGCCGTGGCGAGCCGGGCCGGCATGGGGCAGGGCACGCCACGGCACGCCACGGCGCGGCAGCCTGGCGGTGCGGCACGACAGGGTACGGCTAGTCGGTTTGGCGCGGCTCGGCGCGGCCCGGTCTCGGCTTGGGCTCGGCGCGGGACGGCGCTGGCGCGCGGCGCGGGGCAGGGTGGAGGGGCGGCGCGGCGCGGTGCGCTGTGCAGCAGTCAGTTCGTCCCGTGAGCGGGCCGGGGAACCGCTGAGGCGCTGTCCGTGCGTTTCGCCTCGCACCGCCTCGCCGCGGCGTCGCTTGGAGCCAAGCCGCCGCCACCGCCGCTTGTGGAGCCTGGCCAGCCTGGCCCCTCGGCTTGGGTGTCGGCCTGTCGACGCGCCAGGGCGACGTCGCCGTGCTGCTCCGGTCTCCGCGCGTCTCTTTGGATTTGGAGTGCAGTGTCCCGTGTGTCCGAGTGCAAGTGCGAGTGTGTGAAAGTGATGTGGTGCAGTGCGATGTGGATTGGGTGCGCGGCGCGCAAGGCGACTAGCGGAAGGATGGCGGCCGCCAGCCCCAGCCGCCCGAGCGTGGTGGCGTTGCAGCGCCGTCGATGTGGGGAGGTGAGTTTCGTGTCCGCCGCCTGCGTGAGTGTGTGAGAGAGAGAGCGAGTGGGCGAGTGTGGGTTCACGGCGTTCACACGTGGGTGTCCGTGGGGCTCTCGGCGTGGCGTGGCGTGGCCAGCGATGGCGGCAATGGCGGCCGGGCGGTGGCGGGGTGTGGCGTGTGTGGTGCCGGCACCCGGTCCGCGCCAAGGCAGCCGAGGCCCGGCCCGGCTCGAAGCTCTGCCGGCGGGACTGGCGTCAACCCTGTGGCCGGGCGCGGTGCCGCGGTGCCGCGCTGCCCGACCCTTGACACCCCCGCAGCAGCAGCAACTCGGCGTGGCCCCCATGCAGGCCCCCTTGCCGGCCCCACTGCGCGGCGGTTGAGCCGGGATGGCGTCAGGCCCGGCAGGGCGACGCGCCGTGCCGTTGGTGCCGCGTTCCTGCGAGCATCCGGCGGGGAACGAGACGAGTGGAGCCGGGCCTTGCCTTGCCGGGCCTAGCCGCCACGCCGGGCGATTGAAGCCACACCATGGTGGGCTGCATGACCTACCGCATGCTGCAGCTTGGTGCAGCTAGGCGCAGCTGCAGCGGCGCCGACCGGTTGCCTGCAGCTCTGCAGCTGCCGTCGTACGCGCCCTGCCTGCCTGCCCGGCCGCGCCGCCGCTTCGGCGTCGCTTGGCTCGAATCCACCCGGCGTCCATTTTACTTTGCCTACGCCCCCCCCTCTCCCTCCACCCCTCCCGCTTGGTCCGCTGGACTCTCCACGTGGGTGCACGTGGTTACAAGCCGGCAACGGCGCCTACTTGGAAGTGGCCTGGACGCGGTTTGGGAACTCTCGGGTGTTGGGGTTTTACGTCGCTGTGTGCCGCTTCGTGAGATGAAGCCGGCTGGAAAGGTATTTTCTTTCGCGATAGATCCGATCCTATTAAATATGTCAGTTTTTAAAATCTAAAAAAAAAATGGGAATAAAATTGAGCTAATTTTATTCTTGATAGTGATGGATTTCTTGTAAACTCAACAACCCCCCCCCCTTTTTTTTAAGAAAGTCGGGAAATGTTTCTCCAGACGCGTTAATTTTCGGCAAATTTTCAGGTCTTACTGTTTGGTGAAAAATTAAAAATTAATGAATGTTCTCTTTTCTTTTCAGGAACATGGTCGGGAGGTTGTTCCTGGAGACATTAAAATCCGTGGCCGACAACCCCCATGATGTTGCTACCGTTATGTGGATTTTGTACAACATGTCCGAGAATGAAGGTGTGTATCTCAGTTGCACGGTAGATCCTCGACGAACTCTCGTCTCGTCTCTGAAGGCGCTTTACTTGGACGCTGATTAAATGACATTATTTTGGGTTATCAGCTCCAAGTGAATGTGACCTCTCAAATTCTGCACCTTGACGTGCCTCGACTGGTCAGCGGGACCTTATCTTGACCCGAGTTGGCAGTGATTGGCGGAACCGTGGCGCATTGTGACGCTCATGGATGTGTGATTACAGATCTAATTGACACACATCTCTGGTTCGGTTCGGCCTTTGATGGCACCGTATTTTTCCCCCTTGCGGTGATGCAGTGGGCGGCGAAGCTCTTTAGTCTCCCAATTCCCGGCGTGATGCTGGAAGGTGTTGGCGGAGCGGCCCGGGGCGGCCTTGACGGTGCAGGGCCACCACCTTGGTGGCGCACAGCGCGCTCTGCGCCGAGGCGCGGCACATCGGGGTGGCCCTCCTACCGGTCTAGGCCTGGCTGGCTGCCTGCGTGCCTGGCTGGCTGACTGCCACCCCTGGCTGGCCGCCTCGTGCACCCCTCCCGCCCGGCCCTCCCCGTTGTCGCGCGCTCTTGCTCCGGCGGGCCGACCCGCTGCGCGTTCTGTCTCTCTTCTCAATAGTCTTATTGATCTTGTGGGTCGGCTCCGCGGCCGCCCCACCCCACCTCACCCCGGTCCGCACCCTGCCCGCCCCGCCCCACCCCGCGAAATCCACCCCAACCCTAGCGCAACGCCGCGCCACGCCTCGTCCAGCCTATCCGGGTGGCGCGGCGCGACGCGGCGCTCCTAGGCGGAGGAGGAATATGTGGAGGACGCGGGCAGCGCAGCACCCCGGCGTCGGCGTCGCCTCTGTGGCGCGAGAGAGACGGGATGTCGCCTTCATTAAGTCCCGCATCGTCCCCTCGCTATTTCTGTTCGGTGCCTCGCCGGCCTCGCCTCCACGGCGGCGTGCCGGTGCGACGCCGTGCCGGTCTAGCACACGCACTCGCCGCTACGCTCCGTCCGCGCCTCCTCCCCTCCCCCTCCCCCGCGAGCGTGGCGTGGCGTGGCGTAGTGGTGAATGGAACTAACGCTTTCGGCTCTAGCCATGTTGACTGCGACGCGCCGGCGCGGCGCAGGGCAGGCAAGGGTAGTTCGCCCTGAGGGCCGCCAGGGCAGCCCTCCCGACGTGGGTATCTGACCGACGAGGGGAGGTGTTGGAGGTGTCCGCGGCTGCCGGTCCTAATGTCGGTCCGGTTTCGTTTGTTTCAGATCCTTCGATCCGTACTGAGCTGATGGACCACATCCCCCACATTGCAATGCTGTGTCATTCGGAGAAGGAGAAGCTGTTGTACGTGGTGGACCACCTCCTGCCCTTTGTAGCCAAGCAGCTGACTGATAATGACGCTCAGGTGCGCATTTTGAAATAATACAGTTGATTTTATCGCCATCTTAGTCGTTCTTTCCCGCTGGTTTCGAATTTTGGCCGTAGTCTAATGGTGTGGTTTGCTTGGCAGGTTCGGAAGGCCGCTCAAGTAACTCTACTCGTACTAATGGACCAATCCCTCGTGGGTCAGTCTGCTGTGGAGGAAATCGTTTGCCCTGTCGTCAACGTGCTCTCCGAGACGGACCAGTACCCTGTAAATGCAGTTCAGGTGAGACAGTTCAGCCACTTTCTTCTTCAGTATGTTGTGCATGCTTTTGCACAAGACTATGTAAGCTTTGTTAAGTGTGCATGGTTGGCTTTGCATTTCATTGGAATCAAGTTGAAGACTTTGAAGAAAACTGCAGTTGGGTGGCGTGAAAGACATGGGTAGTGAGATGTTTGCTCATGTATATCTCACTACCTTGTCTTTCATGTTGCTTTAACTGCATGAACCCTGTGAAGTTGCTACATGGCCTCAAGGTTCTGACGTACGCATCAAAGCTGGTTTGTCATAGATCATATTGCAAGGCTATCACAGCCAGCTTTGATGAGCTACGTTTGAGCCAAAATCATCGTTCAAGATCACTCTTTGGAAGGACCACGTCAAATTAGAAGAGGCTGGAGCCATCAATACGGCTGTGAGAGCGTGATTTTGATACCGTATCACAGCCACTTTGATGAGCTTTAGCTTCTTCCCAACTCTGCTGCCATCAGAGGGAAGCTTTTGCATGCATTTCCCTCCCTTCATACTGTCAGCTCTTGTACACTGGTGTTTGATTGCATGTACTGTGTTTGGGTGAAACTTCTTCTCTTGAGTTCTTTATTGTACAGCATAGCAGCGAGTGAGCTTGAGCCCCACCCGTCAAACTGGCTGTGACTTATGTGTATTTTTTTCATATCACAGCCATTTTTGACGAGTTGGGTTTCAAGCCTAGCATCGATGGATTCTGCATTCAACACTGCCTTCCAAGAAGATTGTGAAGCTCTATGCTCTGCTCACAAAGTGGCTGTCATGTGTGCTTTTAATATCATATCACAGCCAGCTTTGATGAGCGGGGCATTTTGCCACGTCACCAGAACTGAAGAGGATCAGAGTGTTACTATGCTTAGTTGAGCACATCAAAGTGGCTGTTGTGTGTTATAATTTTCATATCACAGCCAGCTTTGATGAGCGCAAATGAGCAATTCTTTCTGCACATCATCGAGTCACACGGTTACAAGAGCTTGCATGAATTAATGAGCTTTGTATGTGGGAATTTGTAGATAGGGTGTAGAGATTGTATTTAGAACTGATTGTTACATGCAATTTATTTTATAGTCTTTTATTTTGTCTTTTGCTAACAAACTTCTTGTTTGTGTTGCAGTTAATGAGCAAAATGGCGCCATTTCTTGGGCGTGTAGCAACTGAGCAGTTATTTCTGGCCAGATTTTGTGACTTGTGCCGTAATAGTGATATGCAAGTCCGCAAGATGTGTGCAGCATATTTTGGTGAATTCTGTGCTGTAGTTGGACAGCCTACAACAGAAGAAAATTTGGTATGATTTATTTTATTCTTTTCATTTATAAATGGTTTGTGCCTTTAAATTGTCTTTTTAACTTCATCCTCTTTGTCCCTTACAGTTGTGCAGGTTTGTTGACCTATGCCAAGATGATGTTCCTGGAGTAAGAAAAGCATGTGCTGAAGTCATCATGTCAGTCTCATGTGCCTGCACTCTTCAAAGGCGTAAGACAGTTTTAGCACCAATGTTTGTCTCACTATTGTGGGATCCTGTGCGTTGGGTCAGATCGTCAGCATTTAAAACTTTAGGCCCATTCATCTCCACATTTGCTGTTCCAAGTGTTGCTGACCTTGTTTACAATGAGAATGGAGAACTAGTTCTTGTTAATCGTGAGGGCTGTGAATTCAGGTAATTTCAGATTATTATTTGCATCTCCCCATTAATTATGAATGAATTTAAACATGTTGTCTGACATTGCATTTCTTTTTATTCAGATTGAATCCCAATATAGATAGAGGTGATACAGATATGGAAGATGATTTAGGATGTGACACACGGAAAGACAAAACATTACCCAGAGCTCACAAGAGTCGACCGCCTACTAGAATTGAAGATATAAAGAACTTCGACCGCAAGGGAGAGCAAAATCTACTTCAAAGTGAGAATGGCAATAAAACGTCTGAAGAAAAGCATCTTGGCTTGGATAATGCTAATGAAAATAATCTTGGAAAGACTGGACAAGTTAATGAGGAAAATAATGGTATCAAACCTTCTGTAGAATCAACCAATCAAGAAATTGTTAATAACAACAATAATCCTGAGATTGATAAGGAGAATCTAGTGGAGTCTATTGCTAATTCTAGTAAGCAAGTTACTACTGATTCAACACTAGGGCCATTTGTGGCATGTATCAACAATTTCAAGATAAAGAATAATTCTTCAGATTCAATGGAGGCTGCGAGTGAATCCAGCTCTGATTGTGTTACCCAAGAAACAGATTTAGATGATTTTTGCCATAGTCAGGGTAGGTTTATTTCCCTTAAACAGTTCAGTCTCCCCATCCCTCTCTTGTTTGTTGTTGATGTCCCCCCTAACAAATTTTTATTTTATTTGTTTTACAGGAGACAATACAATCGAAAATTCTTTGGATCAGGATATGAGTAGTACCTCATCTACTCCTGTCACTACTCCTGAAGAGAATGATTTCAATAGTTTTTATTTTTGGAGGGTGCCTATTCCTGATATATCTGATCAAGATGAAGCAGTGGAAGATGGGGTTTTGGACTACCTGACTGGATTAGTTAGTAAGTGTGCCCTAAATTACAAACAACCTTCTTTCTAATTGAAAGGATTACTAACATTGTTTTAATCTTGCAGACGCATCCAATGCTACTGTCGCTTATCGAGAAGATGATAACAGTGACCTGTTTAGTTCGAAGACCTCCGAAGCAGGACACAGACAAGACATTGTGCCACAAGAACTAGTTGAACTCTTTGTGTCAATGACCAACCCCCCTCATGCTCACATGACTGACATTGAAATAGCCCTACACTGTGCCTTCAGTTTACCAGCTGTTGCACTAACGCTTGGTCGAGAGAACTGGGGCTTCTTAAGAGGGACCTATGAACGTCTTGCTGCGGACATGCAGTGGAAAGTTCGAAAAACTGTGGCTTGCAGTGTACATGAATTAGCTGAAATTCTGGGAGAAGAACTAACAGCTAAAGACCTTGTACCTATCTATACTGGATTTATTAAGGACTTGGATGAAGTTCGGATTGGTGCCCTCAAGCATTTAGCTGATTTCGTGAAGGTACTTTTAGTTACAATTATTATTGATCCTTTGCTCAAGCAGTGTTTATTTATAAGTCTAATGTTCTCTTGTGCTTGTTTTTTGCAGCTCCTTCCTTCCTGTAAGCGGAAATCTTTCTTAAGTCAATTTGAAATGTTCTTGGTGACTGACAATGAATGGAACTGGCGATTTCGAGAAGAATTGGCTCAACAGCTTCTAAGAATCATCCCCCTTTATACCCCGGAAGAAACTTGTGTGCATTTGGTCCCAGTGGCTATTGCCTTATTACGGGACAAAGTAGCTGCAGTGCGCACCACTGCACTTCTATTGGTTAGTGTTGTCACTGGTTTTGAATTGGAGTGGTTCTGTATACTTGACTTGTACTTATGCTTGATTATTTTTATTTTTTTAGGTGACATGTTTAATAAACCATGTCACATCGGAGGGACCCCTTCTGCGTAAACTCTTGCCTCTGTTGGCTCAGGAATTTGCCAATAGTACCAGATGGGAAAGGCGGCAGGCTTTTGCATTGCTGTGTTCCCACCTTGTGGCCGGACGAGTTTTAGGTGGTGACCAGTTTGCCCGTGAGGTGCTACCATATTTACTGGACCTTAGTTATGATAAAGTCCCTAATGTGAGACTTGCTGTGGCCAGAACTCTGGCATCTGATATTATGGCTCACCGTAAGTATTTATTGTATGTACATCAGTTCTGAAGTGTTAGGTTCATGAGTTTAATTTGAATTTGTTTCTTTTTGTCTGTAGAATTTTTCAGCAGTGATCAATCACCTCACCAAGAAGTTTTAATGCAAGTGCTTAAACGTCTGATAAATGATAAAGACAGAGATGTAAGATTCTTTGCTGATCCTCGGCGTGGGGCTCCCAGTCAAATACAACAACAGTTATCCAGTGGTGCCAGTCATGTGCAACTTCCAACATGCTGAATTTTCTACCCGCCTGGGAACAATTTTTTAATCATGAATTTGTATTAATGAATTTTTATCATTTTCTTGTCTGATTTATTATCTTTTTTTTGTAATTAGGTTATTAAAATTGTCTTAAAATTATCAAGTCTTATTAAGAAGTGATGTTGTTATGTATGATAAATAAATTGTTGAATATTGTCCATAAGATTAGTTTATTATCCTAAGACCTTCAACACAGTAACTTAAACAGCCAACATTAGACTATATTATGTACAATTTATACACGATCAGATTTTCTCTGCCTCTCTGAGGCTTCATCTACATCAGTCTGTTTGGGTGTAGCCTCGGCTTTTGCCTTCGCGGCTGCTCGGTCAGCCTCTTCGATCATTGCTGCTAACCTTTCATGTTCAAAATCCATCGGCTTGTCATACCCTAACAAGCGAATCAGATGGCTCTTATCGAAGGCCTCCGTCTCGACCATGAGAGGAATTCCACGAACTTCCATAGTTGTAAACATCCCTCCATTGTCAGGCACTTTCGCCTCTCCTGGTGCGATGGGAATCTAGAGCAAAAATAAAATGTTGGGCTATTCAGTGAAATTTCATTGACATGGGACAGTGATGTGAATGGACAAATTATGACTACTTTATAGGGAGTGGCAAAAGAAGTGCAGTTAAGTTGATAGACTCACCTGAATGTCCTTAAAGAAGAATGAAGTCGTGTGAGCAATATAATTGTCTTCCTTCTTGCTGTATGTAATTCGGTTGACATGGCGCTTGGCTAGTTGGTGGAGCAGAACAGGGGTGACAAATGTAAAAAATCCAGCAACCGTGCAGGTTGCTATTAACACAGGAAGACTAGAGGCCTGATTATATAGAACTGGTTGGAACACAAGTCCCATGACACTGGTTGTCATAGAAAATACTTTAACTCTAATAATTTCTCTCTCTAGTCTGCCTTTATAAATGATTTCACGCGACTCGTCATTGTTCGGTTTAACTGCACTGCTTAAATTGCGTTGAAGAGAGAGGTAAAGTCGCTCTGACACCTGGAAAAATCAAGTGGAATTAGCAAACTAAGGTTTATTGAAAGCTCCCATCGTATTCATAAGATTGTTGTAAAAACCAAATAGGTTGTTTTTTTTTTCTAAAATGATATAAACGTTCAAAGCTGAGTTATTCATCTCGGAGAGAAAATGAAACCTTACTTGACATGTTGGGGTTAGGTTGGAGGCGACGCAAGTTTTAGCAACTCTCAGCTCACTGTTCGAGGTGATAGCTCCATACAAACACCGGCCGCTGAAAACTCGCAACATTTTAGAAACTGCGGTATTCCTTTGTAAGCTAATTGTTGCAGAACTTCGATAGATGTTCGATTTGCGACTTAGATTTGAAGCGAAATGCCTTCAGCAGCAGACATGTTTAAGCGAAGGACGGACAGACGACATTCTATGTAATTTCTCATAAATAGAGAGTTTATATGAAAAACTCTGTCGTCGCGCGCGAAGAACGAACACCCAGGAAATGAAACGATTTGAGAGAAACACACTGCAGCTGTTTCTACTTTATCCCTTTCTTTTGCGCTTCTGAGAAGCGTAGCTTAGTCACATTTTCATTTTACTTTCGTTCGACCATTTTCTCAGTCTTAAACTGAAAACAGAATACAGCTTCAACTTTGAGCCAATTGGAAAACACAAAACTTTGTGCGGGCCACGGCAGAAAACAACAGGAGGGGGAAAAAACCAAGTCAGAATAACAAAAATTATATTTTTAATACTTAATTCATATATACAACAGACAGATGAATCGACACAGAACATTTTATACACACTGTACAAACTGTTATTTACAAAAATCACACATTATGAGCAAATGGAGGTAATACCTCTTTTTATTGGTAAATTCTCTTCTACCAATATGGCATTTGAAGGAAACTACATGATTGAGATCGAATAAGAAATTCAGGCATCTTTCTTAAGTTAATTAGTATCACAAAATTAGCTTATTAATTGTAATAGAGTAAATTAATTTTTTTGGCTGCTGCTTTCCAATAGTACCTACTATTGTCCTTAGTATAAAAGAATCGTCACATCAATAAATACAGTATCTAAGTACTTGAAAAGACAACATCCCTAAAAGATTCTGTGGAAGTGTGTTCAGAAAACTTGTAAAACAAGACATGGACTATACAACCATCCCAAGGAACATTGTCCCTGTGTACACAATATTTAGGTGTAAGATTGTTCTTAAAAGAAAACACACAAACCCTCTTAGGGACGGACATTCACATCATTGATTGACTAACAATTATTAGAAGTGAAAGCAGCAGTAGGGTCACCTCACGCAGGCAACAGATCAAAGTCATCACTAACATGCACCATTGGAGGTGGGCACTCTTCACACGGACCCATTTCTTTTACTTTCCAATCCCAATCCATGCGTTGCACGGCATGGAGCGACTCTGCCTCATTATGATGGCGAAGCAGCATTGACTCCTAAGAACAGAACAAACGGAAATGATACTAATCAAATGAGAAACACAGTTAATGAATGTTAGCGGAATATTAATTGCATACCTTTATTTTTTCCCATTTGTCATCCACGTCCTGCAACCAACTTAAAAACAGTCGCCCATTGTAGCGTGAACGTGCATTTCTGTCCTTCTCTTCCTGTTCTGGAGTGATGACGTTATAAACTTCCTCATCCTTTAGAATAGAACATGCAGAGAAAGGCAGCGCCTGATTGGCCAAGGCTCGAGCTGCCCTACCATGGACTCTCAGAATCTCTTGTTCTACTGATAATACTAGTTTTTCTTTCTCAATAATATGCTGAAAATATACAACATCTTCTTAGTAAAAGAAAAATAAATAAAAGTTCCACAAACTTATTTCAAAGCCCTACTCACCTGCATTTTCAATTTCTGCCTTTCTTTTTCTTGGTCAACAAATAATTCTTTCAATCCTCCTACTAATGAAGCTGGTGGTGAATTTGGGGCAGCAATTCTAGTTGAGGCATTGCTAGCAAGGACATACGTGCAGCGGTTCATCAAGTAATCTTTGAATCCTTGAGGAGGTTTGGGTTGAACAGGAAAGAGGTTCTTTCTTCGCCTTTCAATCTGTTAATGAATTTAAAAAATTGCAATAGAGTAAACCTTTAACCAGAAAAAAAGATAACAGAACAGAACAGAAATTTGTTAATCCAACACAACAATACCTGTTTTCGAATGTTCAGGAAGAGCTGGTAACAGTTTGTTATTGGCTGCTCATGAGGATGCACCTCCGTTGTTGTGTATGGTGCTTCAGTGCTTTCTGTGTTCACAGCGCTGGGAGTCGGTGCAGGAGGCTGCTCCCGGTGAGGCTTCAATTTCCGCTTTCGGGGGTGCAACTCCATGGAAACAGTCTGTGGTGGAGGTGCAGGAGTTGGTTGAGAAGTAATGGGATTAGTTTCAGTCGGTCCAGGTTTTTCATCCACAGGAGCACTGATAGGGGCAACAGTGGTCGTGGTGGTTGTTTTTCCTGGTGATGGTGCAGATGTAGTCTCTGGGACAACAGATGCTGCAGCTTCAGAAGGGGCTGGTGATTGTTGCCTGGACTGTTGAGGGGATGTTTCTTCACCACCACCTGATCCTGCAGTGGGTGATGAACTTCTACTCCCCGACGGATTTGGGCCTCCATTGCCAGAACGATTGGAACTTCTTAGCACTCTCTGGTGATGCAAAGCAGTTCTCTGGTCTTCAGTGAGATTGCTATCCTTCTTGTCAAGAGCATCTGTTGGACTAGCAGAACCAGAGCCACCACCTTCTTTATCAGGAACTGAATCATTGCTGTTAGAAGATGCGACAACATAGGGGAGTGCTTGGTGGTGTCTTGAATTACCGTTCTTTCCTACTCGAGTCCCTGGCTCCGGCTCTAAAGTTGCACTTTGTTGTGGTATCACAATCTTAAGCGGAGGCACTTTAGGGCCCACAGCGTCACCTGTTTTCCCTTGCGAATCTTCAGCATCAGCCTCAACAACTTTGCTGCTCGTCAATGTTGATGATGTTGCAGCAGCACTTGATGGCTTAGGACTATTAGAACCAGAAGAGGTGCCGCTTTTTAATTCGGGGTTCTTCTCAACATTGGCAGCAGGCTTCCCTACAGGGTTGGTGGCTGATTTGCTGGCAGTAGGTTTGGTTTTGTCGTTGTTAGCACCCCCATTTCTGCCATTGGCTGCTCTTCCAGGGGCAGAGCTTCTAGGATTGTCTTTGGAGGAGCTTTCTGTCTCCTTCCTTTTCTTCCTCCTGCTTTCTTCATCACCTTCATCACCATCCACCATTTCAGTTGCATTCCGTTTAGCACCAGTATGAGTTGGTTCGGTTGGGGCATCTGCTTTCGACTCTCGTTCCTTGCTGTCACTGGAGCTCGTCGATTCACTCATTTTAGTTGGCGGCTCAGGAGATGCACTGGCACCACGGACTGGCGTGGCCTCCTTGCTGCTTTTAAATTCATACACATCGTCTCCACTGCCTTTGCCTTCCATGTTCCCACTCAATGCCCTAGAACACAAAAAAGAAAATGAATAGGACAGGATCCTGAAGAGGCTCAGGTACAAAGTTCAACAACACAAACTTACCTAGTGTTTGAATTAGATTCTCTTTCAGCTGGCTTGGCAGCACCTTTCCTGTCATCCCTTGTTTTGACGTGATGGAGCCTCAGGGTAACTCGTGGAGATGTGGACTTCTCAACAGCTGCAGGAGCAGACAAAACAAGACTCGGTTAAACAAAGGCTTAAAAATAACTTAAAGACGAATACAAAATTGGTTTAGCAATGATGATAATCCAGCACATAATACTCTAAGAATAGCGTGGACGTATAAAACGCGACGGCTGATGTCCAAAATTAGAGTTTCTAAACTCTCTCAAGATTCATCTAGAATACAGCAAGGGTCACTGCTCCTCAGTGCCGGAGCTCGGAGCTCACTTAACCTCAAAGCCGAGTGCTTGTGTTGCGCGCGGCTGCAATCGCCACGCAGCAAACGGCGACAATTGTCCAAGTCCAATTGACAAGCGAGCCGCAGTCACAACAAACGCGCATCCCAGTGCAGACGAACTTTAGGGGCGATCAACAGCCTCGACGCGAACCAACCCTGCCCCCTCCCCCCTCCCTGACCGCGAGTTCAAGGCTATTTCAGGTCACTCGCAGGTCGCTCTTAAGCTCACGTACCACGACACTTACTTAACTACAAAACACACAGCAAAGGGTGGTCCAGTCAAGGGTCAAACCCGGTATAAAAATACAAAAATCGCTACCGGCGAAAGCATTTAAAACAAGTCTGAAACAAGCAAGTTTGGGGACCCAGGCCGCACCGCACAGGCCTCCGCAGGGGGAAGGGAGGGGGAGGGGGTGTGTGACTGACGGCCGGTGGAGTGGAGGTGGGTGGAGGGCACGCCGACTAACGCCGACCGGGTTCCTGACGTCGCCGCAAGGAGAGCTGGTGGCGCCGGCGACTGGCTTGACTCGCAGCCGCGGCTCGCACGGCGGGAGGCGCGGGGTATCGCCACTTCCCTTCCCTTCCCTTCCCGGCCTGTGCCCCGGCCTGTGCCCCGGCCCGGTCCAAGACGCTCCATCTCAGGCACTTTTCTTTCCGAGAATAAAGGACGGTCGACGAGGGAGAGAAAGAACTAATACCAACTGAATGTAGTAATGAACTAGAATTGCCACTCGGCACAGCCTTCCCACTCCTCTGGCACTTTTTCGGCAAAACACGCGATGACACCACGGACACCAGACGCGCGGTCAGGTGCACGTGAGCTGAAGACACGCAGCACGCAGTGCGTACTGTACCTTTGTTCTGTGGTGTTGCTCTCCGCATCTCAGACGAAGCCCCCCGAGCCGACGCCGTGCTGTTCCGCCGCGTCGGCGTCCTGGGCAACACCAGCGCCCTGGCCGCGCCCTGCCCCCTCGTCGTGGAGGTGGTGCCGGACGACGTCGTGGAGGACGAGGACGACGAGGACGCCGTGCCGGGGGCCGCGCCGGAGGCCGTGCTGGGGACCGTGCTGGGCGCCGCGTCCCCCGCCTCCGCGCGCTCCGCGGCCCCGGTGGACTCCGACGTGGGGCCCGCCAGAACTGCGGCGAGCTCGGACTCGGCCTCCTCCTCGTCGGAGAGGTCGGTGCTGTCTTCGTCGCTGGAGAACGGCTTGGGATCTGCGAACAGGCATCAACACCAACATCATGAGCAGTCCGACAAAAGTGCATGCGAAGGACGGGAAAGGGCTTGGAAAGCAGCAGCACGCAAAATCGTTGACAGTTTGTAAAGTTTCAAAATCGTTCGGATCTACAGCAGGTGACCCCAAAACCATAGAACGGGTTGAAAGTACCAATGCAGTCAGACTCTGCTCCCCGCAGACAACCAGTGACCAGCTTTGGTAAGATTTTGATTCCCCATTCCTCAGACCATGATGAGCAACGACGAACGAGAGCTAGACGCCCTTGGCCGGTCAGGTAAGACCACACCGATCAGAGCAGCCTTCGGATACACCGCCCAGAGCTCTACGCTTCCAGAGGGGCAGACAACTTGGCTTGATCACGAGGCATTCAGTGCAACACAACGCACCCGGCTGGCACGCAGAGTGCATCCTGGCGGCAGTAGACTGCATCGCGACCAACGCGTCAGTGGGCAAGGTCGTGGTCGCGTCAGGTGACTCAGCGCTGAGGAAATCCCCAAAAGCGGACGGGACACCTCACCGTCCTGGCCGGACGCGCCCCAGCCCGGCCTTAGCCTGGCCAGCCCACGCAAAGCACACCAAGCTGGCCAGCTCGTCTCCGCAAGCCTCGGCAAGCCTCCACGCTGCCAGACGCCAATCAAGGAGGCTCCTCTCCTTCGCGCGGCCGTGCTGGGCCGAGCTAGCTCGCCGTGCTGTCCTGGCCGGCCGATCAGCTGACGGCGAGACTGGGCCACCGTTCTGCTGCCAGACTCTCCGCACGGCCGCGACGTCGCCGCCACGCCGCCGCGGTTCCTGGTCCGGGGAAGTCCTCGGATTCACAGGCTGCGTGCGCTGTGCGATTTGTCTGGCTTTGCCACCCGGCAGAGACAAGCGCGACAAGCCGGACAAACGCGACAGGGGGCGTAAGTGCTCGGCAAGGGTGCCGCATCGCCCGCCAGGCATCGCCTTTAAGACCCAACAATATCAACAGGTCAGCTTGCCGGGTTTGCTTGGCGCTTCGCGTGTGCCGGACGCGAACACAGTCCACACCGCGGACTCCTCAGCCTGTCTCACAGCCCACCCACCCCTTCGCGACACCTACCCTCTCTCTCTCCCACCCGCACCAAACGCAGATGCACACGCACACTCGAGCACACACGCACACCAACTCACAATCGCCGGCTGAGCGGCTCCGAAGAGATCTTCCTGGTCACTGCTAATCCACACACAGCAGCTCGGGGCAGTGGCACGCCTCGTGGCGGACGCGGACGGGCGGGCACCAGGACGCTGGACCACGCCGACGTCTGTCCTCCCCGGGGCCGTCGCGCCCCTCGCGCCGATCCTGCGCGAGGCCAAGATGAGCCGCGCCGAGGCGAGCCGGACGGCGAGCCGGACCGGTGCGGCAGACACGCGATGCACGCGCGGTGCGGGACGGCACGGCGGGTAGGGAGCGCCAAGCGCCGCGGCGTTGCGCGCCGAGCCGAGCCGTCGAGCACCCTCTCGCTAGCGGTCTTCACCACGCTCTGCCGCCATCTTGCCGCCGGATGGGCCAGGCCCTAGCCAGGCCGTCCCCCTCCCCGGCGAGGCGCGGAGAGCGCGGAGCGCGGAGCAGCGCGGAGCAAGCCGCTAGGCCCCGCCCCTGGCGCGAGGCCCCGCCCGCCCGCCGGTCGCCAGCCAGCACCGGGGCCTCCACGGCCACCGCGGCCACCGCCCCAGCTGCATGGGCTGCACCGCCCCGCCGAGCCACGCCGCCACGCCGGGCCACCGACACCATAATAACACACGTTGGGCTTCTTTATGGACAAAATTTTCAGCCATCATAACTCTCTGCCTCAATAAAACTAATGCACGGGACGAAGCTGCGTCGCCGCGGCCGCCGCGAAGCAGGGCAGGTCCCCGAGGACGAGCTCTGCACGCCAGACGCGCCCCTGTCGCCGAATTGGCAATCTAGACTCGGCCGGCGTCGCCGGGGCCGCGGGCCACACCCTAGGCTCAGTAACTGCAAACCATGTCCAAGCCAGCAAACGGGTCGCAGTGTCGCGAGGTTGACTGTGCCATTCAGTGCAACCGAGTGCATGCTTGCATGCAAAAGCGCAGTTCGCCTCGCCAAGGAAAACTGGTGGCCCGCAAGACGGGAGCATGCTAACTAGTATAGTACTACTATGTAGCAACATATTGCAAGCGGCTGACGAAAATGCACGGCTGCAGCCACCCTTTGCATTCCACGCGGTCTGGCCGCAAAGTGGCGATAAGCGAAACCGGAAACAGCGCCGCGCGATTTCGAGTATACTTCACACATACCCTGCGCATGCCCTCTTGCAGTACGTATGTTTGCACACCGAGTACAGTTAGGAATACAGTGTAATGCTCTATTTTGAGGATGGATCGAGTCGACGTGAGTCACCCAGACTGGAGTTTGGCCGCATGGGATTCGAGAAGCCTTGAACCTTATTCGACTCACACTGGGAGGCATCCGAGAAACCTCGTGGGGCCACCGTGTGTGAGTGTGCACGTGTGAGTTTTCTTTCTGGGGGTGAGCGCACGCCAAGCGAGGCCACAGCCAACCAGAAAAAAGAAAGGCAGGGGGGGAGGGGGGGAGCTAACGAACTTCGCGGTTCTTGGACTTGAACCGGCACGCGTTTTCTGCGAAGTGTTCCAATAAAATGAAAGGGGGCTGGCTGGAGGGGTGAGAGAGAGAGAGAGAGGGAGATGGTAGGAGAGATGGCGCGCCATGGGCTCGACGGAGGCTCGGACTTTGGGCCTGACAGCCTGACGCTCCGTCCCTGGCGTTTTGTTTGCGCCACATTTTCCGCGCAAAAACAACAGATTTCTCCCGCCGGCCGAAAACAAAGCGTGTAATGCGACACCACTCCGCGCGCTTGGGCGTTTACGGAGTATCGGGGTGTTCGTCCGTGCAAGGGGCTGGTTACAATGTAGTACAGTAAGTACAGTAATGGCGCACTACGCCGTGGTGGAGAGAGAGAGAGAGAGAGAGAGAGAGAGAGAGAGAGAGAGAGAGAGAGAGAGAGAGAGAGAGAGAGAGAGAGAGAGAGAGAAGTCGTCATACAAATTCTTTGAGTAATCTCTTTGCAAATGCCCCCCCCCCCCTTTTCCAGCGTGTTTTAATCAAAGCCCGGCGCCGACGCGTGTACACACACAAAATTCCACTAATTTGACACGCAAGCGGCGGCAGCCACAGCGGCGCCCGCCAGGCAGATTCCTCGAAGCCGCCGTTCTGGCTGTGAGCGCGCTTCGTAAAACTGTTTCAATTACTGGATGATTATGATTCAGTCAGACGTAGGGTCGCCAGCTCCGCGGCTGATGGCGAGAGAGTGCCCTTCCTCTCGGACAGGTCCTTCGAGTGCGAGAGAGACAGCAGCGGTGTGTAGAATCGCGAATCGGAATCGCAAGGCCCTTTCCACAAAAGCGCACTTCTCGCCAGCCACGACCTGGGCCATACTGACCTGGGTTATTGGGGACGGGGGCAGTGTCTCACCACGCTCACGCCCGTCGTGTGCTTCGTGGCATGCCACGGCGTGCCCTACCTGAGCGGCGTGGCACCGCACCATATAAATAGCCACGGAGAGACCAGCTGGGCCGGTCGCGGCCGCGACTCTGCGCGCTTGTGTGTGTGAGTGTGTGTGTGCGCGCGACTTCCACACACAAACAACCGTGGCCCTGCGCGGGCACGTCCTGGCCACGTCGTCGTGGACGTGCCCGCCGTGGACGTGCCCGTCGTGGACGTGCCCGCCGTGGACTCGGACACCTCGGACTCACCCGTCATGAGGAAGATGACGTCCTGGCGCGCCACGTCGAGCGGGGTCTTGCCGCGGACGTTCCGGAGGTGCGGGTCGGCGCCGTGCCGCATCAGCATGCGCACCAGCTTGAAGTGGCCGTTGACGGCGGCGTCGTGGAGCGGCGAGTCGTCGTCCCAGCCCTTGACGTTGACGTGCGCCCCGGCCCGCAGCAGCGCCCGGGCCACCCGCAGCCAGCCGTGGTTGCTGGCCTCGTGCAGCGGCGTCCAGCCTGCGATCAGAAAGGGGAAGGCGTGGCTTCGAGTACGGCCTCTTCCAGGCACCGTCCGACACCGTCGATCCGGCCAGGAGGCCGAGCACGCCGTCGTCCTGGACGGGCGGCTGGCGGTGCTGCGGCACGGCGTAGCACGACGGCGTAGCACGACGGCGGGACCGCGGCCGGCCAAGGTCACGTCGCACCGCGCACGCCGCGCAGAGGAATGCCATGCGAGGGGCGCCGAAGTGCAGTCGAGCCTCGTTCAAATGACATAACGCGCTCGCCACCGTGAGGGCACCGGAGAACAAGGAGTCCAGACAAAGCCACCGTTTCGACAACCCGATCCTTGGGTGCTGCCATGCCGTCTCGGCAGTCTCGGCCTCGGCTCGGCGGCGTGACCATCATGACGTTACAGTTCCAGCGAGGATCAAAGTGTAAGCCGAGCAGCCTTGGGTTGCCTTGGGCAGACCGCCAGGGCCGACGGGGACGTCTCTGACGTCGCCGACGTCGCCGGGGTCCCTAATCCACTCCTCGAAAAGATGAAGTAGCACTCAGGACGTGGGCCGGCCCAACGCGGATGTTGTGGCGGGGCTGGCGGGGCCACCGATACACCGACGAAAAGGCCACCGCGCGGCCGGACATGCAGGCCTCTCTCGCCGGGCGGCGGACCCTTCGTCTCGTCGGTCGACGCCCAACTCCCAAAGAGAAGCCCGTCATCGAACCCCAGTCAGGGCTAAAGTACGCGACGGGCACCGCATTCACAAAAACAGCGGAAATGACTATCACGTCGAATTCTCCGCTATGCCCCCCCTCCCTCCCCGGACAACGTTATGAAGCCGTCCACCCCGCACAGTGGGCCAGAAGACCGGCGGCGGTGGTCAAAATCCCGGACGCGTTGTGAGCTCCAGAGTCAGTAAATGGGGTTCGAGTTTCGTTAGCGACCCTGGAGCTCAAAACGCGTCTAGAGTTTTGGCCGCCTCCCCCGGTCTTCTGGCCCTCTGTGCCCCGCCGCCACGAGGCACCCGGGCGCTCAGCGTTAGAACCAGAAAATAGAACCTCTCTGAACCTCTCCAGCTGGAACCCCGCGAACGCGAGAGCAGGCAGCAACTCGCGAAACCTGGCACAAGGGTCCTTTGCACACAGGGAGGCGGATTTTGCTGCGGCAAAAAAAGGGGCGAAATGTAATCCGAATGCTACACAAGAGGGTAGGTATTGTCGCGGGGTGGAAGTGCAGTGCAAGTAGGGGGAAGGGGGAGGGGGTCGAACCCGAAACCTGCCGCCAGGCTAAAGCAGGCTCCACGCTCCACAGCGGGGACGCCGTGGCTGCCGTGGCGCGGCCAGACGGGCCAGACCAGACGAGGCGAAGCGGCAACGCCGCACCGGCTCGATCCTCACACCAGCCGGCCCAGCCAGCCCGCCAGCCAGCCCGGGCACAGCCGACGGCAGGCAGCCAGGGCGACATGACTTAGGGACCGTCTTTACGTCACAAATACACCGCATGCTAACGAGCTGGCTGCCTGGCTGGCCGCCTCGGCGACAGTGCACTTGGCGGACCATGCATGCACGAGTCCCCCACAAGGGCGTTTTGGGCACTAGGGCATCGGCCTGCCCAGCGCACGCCCTGCACGCGCCGTGCAGCAAAGTTGGCCAAAACGGCGACAAATGATTGGAACCGTGATTTGGGTCGACATTGGCAGGCCGCTGTGTCCAAATCTAAGCCGGTCAATCGTACTCCCTCTAAGGGGCGGTGGTCTTATTGGACCTTCCTTTGGCATGCCTTTGCTAGGGTGTGTGATTAGCTTCCTTGATTGGACGCAGTGGCCGCCCAAAGTCGATCCAATCACGGTTTCCAGACGTGTATCGCTGTTTCGCCAAATTTTGCGGCAGTGTTCCAAAACCACTCTCCAGCCAATACAAAATGCGCAACCGTTCTGATTACTAATGTATCTTTTATTGACGCCCCAACCGACCGGCCGGCCACTGGAAAGGAAAGGCGTAACACACGACGGCCGTTCGGAACCGCGTGACTCAGCGCCTGCAGCATTCCGAACAGTGCTTTCGTCGCCCTGTCTCTCTCGCACTCGCGGGGGCGTCCCGTATGGGTGCGAGAGAGACAGGGGTGTGCTCTCTTCGTCGTGCTTCGCCTGACTCATCGGACGTGGCGGGGCGCGGGACGTCGCGCGGTCCCTGCAGTGTCCCTGCGACGTGACGCGCTGGTCCACCTGGCTTGTGACGCCGCCCCGTCCGTCGTCCCGCCGTCGCGCCAGCGCCGCAAGGCACCTGAAGGCACCGCGGCCCCGCGTCCTTGGGCTACTGACTGGCTCGGTGCTCTGGTGCTCTTTGCGGCCCGCCTAGGCCCGCAACTCTGGAACGCCTCGCGGTTCGAGCCCCGCCGCGGTGCGGCCGTGCGGCCCCAGGGACGCCGTGCCACGCCCCGCCACGCCCTTGAGGCACTCCTCCAGCCCGCGTGGACGCCCGGCCCTGCCCTGGCCGGGCCCCACCTAGGCACAGCAACACCGTCCCCGTGGTCGCCTTGTCCCATTCATTGGCACTTCCACCACCGATTCCCTCGGCAGTGACCGCCACTCGGCCCGCTGCCCGCATGCCCCAGCGGACAGTGTCGCACGCCCACGGCGAGCCCAGCCCAGCCCCAGCGAGTTTCCCTTCTCGCTGCAACAGACGTCACGGCGACGCGGGGCAATCACTGATAGCGCCGCGTCGTTCGTCGCCAAGCCCCTGGAGGCCGCCGCCGACACGTCGCCGACGCGTCGCCGTCGTGGTGGCGAATGTGCACGGGATGCACGGTGGCGGCCGGCCTGGCGTGGCCGCGGCGTGGCGCTCGGAGGGTCTCAGAGGCGCGGGGCGTAGCGGGGCGTAGCGGGGCGTAGCGGGGCGTAGCGGGGCGTAGCGGGGCGCCAGCGCCATGGATGTAGCGGGGCGACGTGGCAACGCCGCGCGAATGCCATTCCATTCCACAACGGGCCGCGATGAGGGAGAGAGAGGGCCACGCGGCCACGGCCCGTCGCTCGGGAGCGAGAGAGACGGCCGCGGCGGCCCCGGACGCGGCCCCACGGCCCGACCCAGCAGGCGTAGCAGGCGCCGCCGTATCTGCTCGGCTCGGCTAGGCCGGCTAGGCCCGGCCCCGGCGATGGGCCGTTTTCGCCGGGCCCGCGACGAGGCCCGCGACGACCGCGGGTCCAGACGTCATCGAGCCTGACCTTCCCCAGCCTCAGCCGGGCCGGCGCCGATGGCCAGGTCTCGGCTCCAAATCAGTGCGTTACCGCGTTACCGCCTGCAGGCCGGCGGGGAGCGTCGCGATTGGTCGCCGGAGCGAGGCGGCGGGAGCGGCAGCCAATCGGGGCGCGTTCAGCGGGGAGGCCGATCTCTGCCGCTCCCAGGCAAGGTGCGCCATACGGCCGTAATTTGAGATCTGACACATTCCGACGTCTGCAAAGACTCTGGCTTGGCGAGCTTGGCGCTGGCGGACGTATACCGCCCGGCGGGTAGGCAATCCTGTGAGGGGTGCGGGTCGCCCTGGAACAGGATTTCCATCGGGGACTCCAAGCAGGACACCACGGCGCCGAACTTCGGCGCACACTCACCCGCGAAGTCCGCCACGTTGGGGTCGGCGCCGGCCTCCAGGAGCCGCTCCACCTGCGACAGGTCGCCGCGGATGGCGGCCAGGTGCAACGGCGTCTCCCCGCGCTCGTTGCGCGCCCTGGACCTCGACGGCGAGGGGTTGGCCGCGGGGCTGGTGACGGCCGCCACCACCGCGCTGCCGCCGCTGCCACCGCCGCCCACCTCGGAGGGCCCCGATCCAGGTCCTGGTCCTGGAACACAAGAAGAGGCGCACAGACTGTCAAGTCAAAACTCAATGAACGATTACTGAGATCATATATGCATGCTGGAATGATACGAAGATATAAATAGTAACAAAAATAGGTGGCGTTAGGCATGACTCGGGTGAAGTCGACCCCAGGTTGCGACAAGCCCAGCCCCCTGCCTCGCTTTTTCCAGGAGGGCAGCAAGAGAAAATGGAGAAAAATTAGCTGCGATGCGGGCGGGGCGCGGGGCCCCCGTTGGGGTAAAAGTTCTCTCCCCGGGCAGAGACCTCTCCGACCTCGCCCTGCTGCGCCCCGCCACACCCTGTCCTCTCTCTCTCTCTCTCTCTCCTTCCATCTGCAGCCTTGCGGCCCCCAGAGTCACGTCCGAAAGATTCTCTATTTATTGAGCGGACCTCGGACCTCGCGGTGACACGACAGCAGGTCCTTCGTCCTTCGCACTGTCTCGCTGATGATGTGAGCCGTTAGTCATTTCCTCTGGTATTGGTACTTTCGCACGCAGTCCAGGATGGCTCTCTCTCTCTCTCCCTCGCACCCAGCCCACGGCCTGATGACGGCACTCTCTCTCTCTCTCCCACGCAGCCCGGCAAGGCCGTAAAGGGCCGAAACGCGTCCGGGCCGCAGCGCTGCAGCGTGCAACACTGCTGCAGTAAAGTCGCGAGGGAACGACCGGAGTCGAACCCGGGACTTTTACTGCAATCGCGCAGTGCACCAGGCAATGCCCTGCGCGTCGTACTGAACGAACACGCTCCTCATATCCAAGTGGTGGGGCCAAAGCATGCAAAGCCGGGCCAAATGAAAAGCAATTGTAATGCCCCACCACAAGGCACACCCAAAACAAAGGATTGCCTTGAACCTAACGTATTTTCATTACGACCGAGGATCTCGTCAAGAGCGTCTTTAGGGATAAGATCACGCTTTTTCTGCTGCCGCTGCTATCAGCACAAACATGAATCTACACCATTCATGAGTTTGATACGGTGTCCACGTCCACAGATCTCTCAGCATGGTTCAATCGCAATCGGCCGCCACGCGCTTCCCCCTTTTCGCACTCTGTTCTGTCCTACGACTTTGCCCCGTGCATGGCGGTGCCCGCTGCATGGATTTCGCTGTTATCGGCGGTGATGCGAGATTGACGTTTCCTCCGATAAGATGCCGACGGGCCCTGGCTAGCCCTGGCCCAGTGTGCCGAGGTTCGAGGCAGTTCGAGGCCCCGGCTTCGAAAGCACACGTCCCCGTTCCCGTGGCCCCATCCCGTCCATGCAAGCAAATTTTCAACTTCGGCAGCAGCGACAGCCAGAAAGCGCGGCGCCGGGTTGGTCTCGAACCAGAGAGCGCAGCTAGCGCAGCCGGCCCCCGGGAGCCTGGAGCAGATGAGAGAGCGAGAGGGCGCACGGCGACGGCGGGGGCGGCGAGGGTGCGAGCGAGACGGACGACGCCACCAACACCACCACCCCCCTGGCCTTCCCGGCAATCAATACGTACCGCATGGGGCGGCGTGGCAACGCCGCCAGAACGCCGCGAGCAGGGCGTGGTGGGGCGGGGCGGGGAGCGGCGTCCCGGGCCAGGCCTGCCAGGCCTGCCCGGGGCCGGCAGCGGACGATGAAAACTTAAAGGGGAACACCCCTTCTAGGGCCGAAAACCACGCCCCAGGCCCACGCCGCCCGCAAACCACGCCAACGCGACGCGGCCACACTCGGCCCTTCTCGCGCCACAGCGAGTGCAACGTGCAGCCGGGTGGGCTCGTCGTCGGCGAGGTCCTCCCTCGGCGCACTCGTGCACCTGGCGGGCCTGGCGGTGCTGGCGGGGGTCTTGGGGCGGGCCGCGAGCACCGCGAGGCCGTCATCTTACTTGGAAATGGCGGGCCGCGGGCCGCGAGCACCGCGTCGACGTCCTGAGTCACTCCCCGAGCGACTTGGGCGGACTTGGGCGAGCCCCCACGCCGCCACGCCCACGCCCCGGAGCCCCGAAAGAGCCCTACGAACGCGCAGGTTGGCCCGCGGTGCGCGTACACAACATGTCTCATTGGAACACGCCCCCCGAGCGACAACTGCGTACTCCTCCGCGGGAGACCTTGGAAAAGGACCGAACCGCCGCGTCGGCGTGCCTGCCAGCGTGCGTGGAGATGGAGAGTGCCTTGTCGTTCTCCGCGGACATACACACACAAAATGAATACAAATTCGAAACAGGTTCCCAAACCAGTCCGGCCTTTTTACCCGCTCGTTAAGGGAATGGCTTGGTAAATAGGAGCCAGCCGCCGCGAGGGCCGCGACGAGGGCCGCGACATGACGCCGTCGACCAGCCCGGTCGGCCCTCTGGCAGTGGCGTGGCCGCTGTCTCTCTCGCACCCATACGGGGCGCTCCACGAGTGCGAGAGAGACAGAGCGTCGGAAACGACTCTCGGCATGAGCCTGCCGGCCGGCCGAAGAAAGCACTGCACCGGCCGAGTGACGTCGCGAACCGCTACTCGCTGCGCTGCGCTGCCCCGCGCCGGCCCGCCCGCAGGCAGGTGCTTCGTCACATTTCGGATCAAATTAGATCACGTTTGCACCAGACGCGCGCTCTCGGAGCAGAAGCCGCCTATGAATAGCCGGGCACCCGGCGGCATCCCCCAGGGCTAGGGCGGGCTAGGACTGGCTAGGGCGACCACCCATGCGGATCCAAGGCCCTTTCAAAACGGGAAGCGCGCCCTGCCTCCACACAATCTCGCATTGCATCTCCCCAAACTTTCGGAATCAAGAGCTTCCAGAGTTCCAGCCAAAGTTCGGCCCCCAGCCCGTTTTGATGTGGGAAGGGCAAAGAACCAGACAACGGCGTAAGTAGTTCGGTGCGGGTCGGTTGCACGGAGTGGAGTGGCACGGCGGTACCCGCCTGACGCCGACCGAAACACCAAAACACACAGCCCAGCCCAAACGACACGTGCAACGCGGTGCCACGGTGAACGAGCGTCTGTCCAAGCCGCTCCATCGTGCAGTGAGAGAAATGCCCTGCTCTCGTGGTTCCAAGTTCCACGACGTCGCGTGCGCGCGCCGGTCTGCACTTCGAGGCCCCCAAGTGCACCGCGTGGTCTGCTGGCCGTCCTGTCGCTGTGCCCGCTCTGCCAAGGACGAAGTGCTCCGGCCTAGTCAAGTCCAGTCCGGCCTGCCCGGCCCCCTCACCGTCGTCGGCGTCCCTGCCAGGTCCCTGCCGCCCCGTCCTGTCCCCACTTGAGCCTCCATTCCCACACGCCTCCATCCGGCCTAGAACTAGTCAACTAGTCCGTCGTCGTCGTCTCGTCCAATCCGCGCGGACGTGACGTCATTTGGAGACGCTCTGCCTCCCTCGCACGTGGGGTACCCTGCGGGTGCGAGGGAGACAGAATGGCAGGCTGGCGCAGGCGTCTCCCTATCTTCTATGTTTTCCCAAAGCCCCACTGCGAAGAGGCGAGGGCGCCATTCAATAATCCGGAGTGATTGCGAATCGACGGTCAAGTGCATGCAGTGCAGTGCATCAATCGGAAGGCCCGACCAGCTCGCTCTGCCTGAAGAGGGCCTCAAGGGGACCAGGCCCCGGCCGCCTCAATCGGAAGGATCGTTTCATCGCCGTCTCTCTCGCACTCAAGGGATGGCCCGAACGGGTGCGAGAGAGAAAACGACCCTTCGGGGACCTGGCTGACCTCTGGCCTCGCTTGCCTGTTTGGCGCAGCCAGGCGGCGGGTAGGGCACGTCGAGGGGCTTACAGTCGCACACCACATCGCCGCGCAGGAACTTGGGGCTCGTGGACGAAATGAGGCATCAGAAGGCCTAGAAGGCTCACTACAAGGCCGGCCGCAGCCGCGGGTCAGGGTCAAAGGCCGTCCAAGCCGGCAGGCCGCGGCTGGCCGCGGCTGGCCGTCCCAGCCTCGCCGCTTGCATGTCCTTCCCGCGGCCAGTCGAAGTCGCGAGTCGCGCCCGAATGGGGAATAGCGCCTCGTCTCGCATTCGCACGGCCTGGCTGGCCTGGCTGGCCCGGCATGCACCACGTGCACGGCCCGCGGCCCGCTGCAGCTGCAGGTGTCTGGGCCGCGGCGCGGCGGCGCTAACTCGCCACGCACCCTAGCGGCGGAGCGGGAAGCTCGTCTCGTCTCGTCTCAACACGATGTCGCGTCGCTACCCCTTGCGCAGGAGGCGCGCCGCGGGGCTGGGCTGGGCCGACCCAGACCGCCGCCAGAGTGCAGCACCATCCGGCTCTCGTCCGCTCTCGTCGTTCCCTTTACGAGTCCCCCTCTCTCCTCTCCCGCCCCCGGTCCCCTTTCCCTTGTTTTCCACACCCAACCGGCTGAAATCTGAAACAGGAGACTTGCGCCCAGCTGATCCCACGTCTTACACCTGTCACCTACACCGCGGGGACGCCCGACGGGCCAGTCTGCCAGTGGCCCTTAGGGGCTAGCTAGGTCTTGAAGAGTGAAGCAAAATGATTGCTGGGTCCTTAAAGTGGTGTCCCAGAGGAATAGGCTGATGGGTTAAATAATGACTTGGTGACAGTTATCATAACCTCCAATCACAAACAACGGCACAGACCAGCCTCAACTGCAAGATCAGAGGAAAGCGGGTTGAAGCCCTTTCTACTGGCGAAAGAAGGTAAGTGGCACAACCAATGTCATAGAGCAAGCTACAGAGAACATCTTAAGTACGAGGAAATAATATCAGAATATTCGAAAAAGCAACAGTTTTCTGATCTTTACCCCTAGAATTATGATTGTTATGTTTCTCAGGAAGACATACCTTGGTTGTCATCGGATGTCATCTGCATCAGGAGTGCCAGCTGCTGCCTTTCTGAGACGGGAGCCGTCGCTCCTCGAACACCTTTGGAGACTTTAGCACGCACTGTGGAGCCAGGCATGATGAAATCATCCCCTTGCTGAGCCGGGCCTGAAGTCAAAGGTTAGTTCTATTAATTTAGATGTGAGGTAATTATAAATTAATATTGGTCTACCAGACTTTAATCTTTTAAATTTTAACCTGTTCTCTGTATCCATCCAATTCATAGGAATAAATACAGACATCAAAATAAAGTCTTGGAAAGGCTCCAACAAACCCCTTGGTTCAAAAAGTTGAAACTAGAAATTTCCTTACCCTGTTGCGGTTCCCATTACCATCTGACGCAATTTCACCATTGTTAAATAGCAGTGAAACTTATCAGAATAAAAAATTAAAAGTAGATGTGTAATTGACAGTTGTTTAAGACCACTCAATAATGCACACAAGAAATAAAGAAGGATTTAAAGACGAAAACCAAACAGGAGTACTGAGCAGACGGACTGGCAGTGGCACTGGCACACTGGAGACGCGCGAATGCCTCAGAACAGAATGCAGAGCAAGTGTTTTGAGGTTATATGCTTAGGTGTTGCGTGGTTTCTGTTGGTTCAGCACAATCGTGTGGGCAAGTGTCAACACTACTCAATGGAAGCGCATGAGAAATTACAATAATCTGTCTAGTTTTGGGTGCAAAAAAACTGATTTTTAAGGACAAATGCTGGAAATCGATCGTTTACACCTACCAGAACAAGGGACTGAGAGTGCCTTAATGTGAAAAAGTTGCCTCTGAACGACCTTTATGGTGACTCATTAGTGTGTTAGTGTTCCGCCAAACATATTCTCTGCTACTGAAACGCATTTCAGAGAATTTAGGAACGTTTTTAAGTGCTCCGTTCACCGGCCAGTGTAACATTCCATAGGGATCATGCAGATGGTGTTAAGCACAACTTTGTAAGGAAGATTCTCTCTTTCCCGCAGCGCGGCAAATACCGAAAGCCACCACGTCTCACCTTTTGTAAGAGGTATTAACACAGATTTGGCTCGCAAAAGCCACAATATTGGTGCGCTACGATTTCAAATTCAAATCGCGAGAAATCACAACAAAAATACTACGCACTGCCTTGTGTAACTGAAGGTCCTGCGCCTGCGCTTGTAAGCGCTTAAGCGCCAACGACTTTTTGTAGATCATTTTTAAAGCACAGGGTTGGGCGAACCACTTATTTCTTTGCGCTCCTCGTATTTTTATAGCAGGAAGACCGATTAAAAATTGCCGAGCGATTGCCAATTTTTTTGGAAAGACAAGAAACTTCGTCGTGACGTGCGCCCTCCACACCCTTCTAGACGGCAAGCGACTCGATTTATATTTTAAAACTTTTTGGGACAGGATGCCACTGTCTTGCAAACGACAACATAATGTTACGAGAACCCATTCCTTCTCAACTGCACGTATCCAACGCAATTTCAGCCATGTCGCCCAGCAAACTTGGCGGAACTCGACGTTTGCATGACGTTTGTTTCAGGGGGCGCCTTGTGGGTAGGCAGCCCATCGCACGCACATGCGGTGCAGGCCGCGCAGGCAGCACTTTGACACTAGAGCCCTCCTACATACATCCCCCGAAGGGGTAACGTAGGGCTCTACTTGACACCTTGACCCGCCACTCGGCCTGCACCATTTCGAACGCTGCTCGCTCTGAATGTGTAAGAATCTCAACAGTTCATTTTGTTGGCCGTATCGACTATTTTCCTCTATGTAACGCGAACACTTGGCACTGACAAGTGAATGGTACTTCCCCAATATTCAAGCTGACCACAGGGCGATGGAGTGGGAATTAAATTTCACAGCTTGAACATCTAGTTTTTTAAAGTGTGCTTTATTAGCTCCTGATTAATAAACATAAGGGTACAGCATGAGATTTGTATTAGAAGGAATTAACATAGAATAAAAACTAAATAGTTATCGGCAAACAGAACAGCAAAATAAAATTTACAGATGCTCCAGTCTGCCAAATTTCCAAAAATATGCAGAAGAGACATGGACAGTTGTGATCAAATGAAAAAAATAATACAAAACAAGAGATAAAGTAAAATTATCTTGGTCAAATTCTTGTGACTAAAACCTATGACACAAGCATATCATAATCTGGAGTTCCACTTTCACGGGACTTCAAGAATTTCACATGGTCGGAGGCGTCTAAGGAGGAAGCCTTAACAGCTTCATCTTCCTTCATAAACTTCTTCCATTGCAACTGCAACCATACATAAATATGGGTAAGAATAAAACATTAGCATACATACAACTGTGCATAAAAGTTAATTTTAAAAATACTCACCAATTTAGGGAATCTTTGTGGAGGCATCACAAATCTATCTCCAGCAACAATGACCAACATATCAGCTCGTTCACACCAGGGCCATATCATGTAATCCACCATACCTGGGCGTGTACCTATGAAATTAAAATTGATATGATTAAAAGTTTGTTGTTTAATATATTTTTAATTTGAGTCATTAAGTAAATACACAGTAAACTTACCACTGAAATAAGGTGTTTCACGTTTAGAGAGTTCAGCTTCAAATTCATCAAGCGATTTCATAACATCCTCAGAGACAAGGGCATCAATATCTGAATATATCTTGTAAAATAGAACAATGAACTGAAGGAAGAAGATGAAAACACAGCAAATTATTACAGTTGTCTAGCTATATGGTTTAAGGAAAGGTTTCAAGAAATTCAATGCAAATTTGAGTACCTGAGAGAAGCGATCAATCAAGAGTTTGTCCTTGGCTCGTTGAAGGGGGTCTGAACTTGCCAGGGGCCTAGTTGTTGAAGAGCTGTCCAAATATTCAGCCAGTATGAGGCTTTCGTAGAGCACAGTGCCATCTTCCAGTTCAATGGCTGGAACCTTGCCAAGAGGGTGTTTATTAAAAAGCCACTCAGGCTTGGTTGACAAATTTACATAGACAACATCATATCTGAAAAAAGGAACATTTATTATAATTTAACCATCATATCCACAAAAAAAAAAGACATAAAAAAGAGTGAAACTTACGGAATTTTCTTGGCATCAAGAACCAAATGCACTCGTTGAGCATAAGGGCAAAACCTCATGCTGTACAGACGAAGTTTCCCATTCACTAGTGGAGGGGAAACACTCCCTGAAATTCCCCCAAACAAAGAAAATAAATCAAGCAAGAGTCAATGTAAGTCAAACATGACACTGACAGAACAAGATCCTGTTCTCATTATACAAATAAACCAAACTGAAAATTGAGGCTGACAATTGGAAACTTTAGAAATTTCCACCAGTTTTATGGAGAAAGTTATAAAATACTCACCCGTTGACAGATGGTGTCCCTGTCCATTGGTCATGATAACAGGTTGGTTGGTACTAGACTGCTGTGGAGAAACAAGGAGACATGATTTATATTAGTCTCTTGTCCTTGCAACGGGGACAACCATGACAAGCCAAAAAGGAGTGATAGCCAGTCATTCGTCGCATGATCGTGACACCTAAACTCGTCACAAACACTCCCTCCCTACACTCCCCATCCCTATCTTGACTTCTCACACCTGTGTGTGAGGAAATAGTGTAAAGTACACTGCACTGTCTGATTACACAAGGACTCTTACGTCATGTGCTGCTCTCACTTTTGGATTAGATTCGTCTCGTACCTTACTCAGAGTGTTTATCTTTTGCAGGTGACACTTTAGGTACCTTTCCTTTTATCGGCTTCCACTTCACTCCGCTTCACTCAACTTCACCGTCACCGAACATGAATGAAGATGTGATCTTGGTCTCACATTCATATTGCAGTTCGGACTCGGGTGGTTGTCGGGCGGAGAACGTTCGGTCGTCTTCGCTCGTCTCGGTCTCGACCAATCAGGACAGACCACGATTATCAACATTTAATCATGGTGGGGACCGCACAGTTCTAGTTGTGTCAGCCGTTCAGCGGAATGACACTTTTAGTCTGTAAAACGTCATTTTTAAATAGGGTAATTGAATGACAGCTGTGGCCCGCCACACAGTTAATATGGATCGTTCTTTTAGACTGGGCCCGAGGAAGTTGATACCCTGGATAGTACTTATTACGTTGGATTTATTATGCGATGGTAAGTTAACCTGCTCAACGTAGACAGACAGCAAGGCATTAACACTTGACCGGACAGCCTGAAACTTTGTTCTCGACATTCTTTTAATTTGAACGCTAGTAATTTCTTTCACAATTTACACCGAATTGTAAGTTTTGCTCTGTCTCATGAGTGTCATTCACAGACTCAACACGCTAGTTGACATTTAGGAATATTTCTCTGCTCTGATTATTTCTCTATCCACTTTCCTTTGTTCTCTTTACTCCTGCTTTCATTCAAGTACCGTCCTCAAAATTTGTAAGGTTTTTCTACACACCTAGGTACTTGACCATTTTTCAGCCCCACCTCCAAACAACCGATATCACGACAACTCAGCAAACATTTTTAATTTAACTGCTGTTATGTTTTTGTTCTTTTGTTTGTTATTGAAAATGCACTCTTTTATGCATTTATTTTCAGTGGTAAATTTTGGCTTGTGCAGTAATGTGAATTGTGATATTTAGTTTCAGATGGTGCTTCCCAAGCAGAAATCAATAAGCACCTCGAGATAGGTAGGAAATTTTTGTCCAGTGGGCAGTACCAGGACGCTTTAACCCATTACCATGCTGCTATTGGTAAGTCTTCTCGTGAAAATTTTTATTCATTTGAATGGATTTCATTGTTGTTAGCGCGTCTAACGCATTGTATTGGATTTTCAGAAGGGGATAATTCGAATGCAGTATCTTATTTCTCAAGAGGAACTGTGTACCTTGCACTTGGCAAGGCCAATTTGGCTCTTGCCGACTTTGATAAAGTTTTGGAGCTGAAACCTGACTTTGCGGCTGTGAGTACTATTTCAATTTTTATACCATTAAATGATGCTGAAATTTTAATGTAGTTTGATGCAATCGATGTCATGAGCACCATCACAGTGATATCACGTTGACTTACAGGCTCGAGTTCAACGGAGTCATATTCTTGTCAAACAAGCAAGACTGGATGAGGCAGCAGAGGAACTTGACAGAGTTGTAAGTTTTGTGGATTATATGTGACAAGGCGTATCAGCTGTTCCATAGTTAACAGTAACCATTAACTTTTCTTTTTTCCTTCAGTTTGCATGGGAACCCCACAACCCAGATGCAGCTCATTTCAGAAGCCTGATTGACCCAGCCAGACATGATATTGCTTTAGCTGAGGCATTCATGAGAGGAAGGGACTATCCTGCAGCTGTAGAACTGATAACTAAAATTCTTGAGGTGCGTTTCATACATAATACTAAATTTCTTTTCAGATCAAGTTGAATTTTTTTTTTAATTGGTTGAATGTTTTGTACTATGTTTTTCTGACTTCTAGATCTGTCCTTGGTCATCAATGTTACGAGAATTGCGTGCGGAAGCTCATACTGCCTTAGGTGACAGTATGGCTGCTATTTCCGATATTAGATCTACTACTCGACTACTCTCCGACAATACTGCTGGTTTTTTCAAGCTGTCTTTACTCTATTATAAACTTGGACAAGCTCCTGAATCGTTAAAGTAAGTCTTTTAAAATGTTTTTTTAATACCAACTGACAGTGATCCTAATTTAGGTGCACCATCATATTTCATGCCCACATTTTCTGTTGCAGAGAAATTCGGGAATGTTTAAAATTGGATCCTGAACACAAGGATTGCTTCCCTCACTACAAGAAAGTGAAAAAAGTAGAGAAACAGTTAAATGATGCTCAAGAAGCACTTCAAGCAAATGATTACAAGAGATGTATTGATATGTCCAAAAAGGTTAATATTTCTCAATAATTTGTAAAATACTAATTTTATAAATATCCATTGCTAAATTCAATCTTGTGACAGGTTTTGGTGTCAGAACCAAATGTGGCTAACATCCGCTTCCAAGCTCATGATAAATTGTGCCAGTGCTATCACAAAGATGACCAAATCACAGAGAGCTTACAAAGCTGTCAAGATGCTTTGGATATTCATATGGACGCGAGAATATTGTGTGATAGAGCTGAAGTTTACATAGCAAGTAGTATGTTTGATGATGGTATGTATTTATGAACCTTATGTTGTAGCATAGTGATAGTAGTACTGGAAGACATATAACTCTTGACTTCTCTTGTCTTCAGCTGTTAGAGATTATCACAAAGCCTTGGACATTGAAGAAGACTATCAGCGTGCCAAGGAGGGAATTCAAAGAGCCCAAAAGCTACAAAAGCAGGCAGAGCGTAGAGATTATTACAAGATACTTGGAGTATCTCGAAATGCAGGAAAACAGGAAATTATAAAGGCTTACAGGTAAATACCATGTTTTAGTAGTCTTTGTCTTTATGTTGGCAATATTAACAGATCTTTTCCTGACCATCTTTCTTCCTACCTCAATACCTAGAAAAGCGGCACAAAAATGGCACCCCGACAACTTCCAACAAAATGAGAGTGAGAAGAAAATAGCAGAGAAAAAGTTTATTGACATAGCAGCAGCTAAGGAAGTCTTAACTGATCCAGGTAAATTTCGCATGGCCTGAAACCAATACAGTAGTTGTAATGTCTTATCTTAAACTAAACTATTTTTTATCTTTTTACAGAAAAAAGGCAAAAGTATGACAATGGAGAAGACCCTCTTGACCCTGAGTCCGGACAGCATAATGGTTTCAACCCCTTCCAACAGTTCCACCAATTTCATCATGGTAGTCCTTTCCAATTTAAGTTCCACTTCAACTAAACTCTTGGTGAGAAGTGAAATCAAGCATACTTGTGCCACTCTCAATGGGCCTGCGGATTTTGTGTTCAGTGCTGACTTTTTGTTAGTCCAAGCTTCAATTTATGATAGAAAATCTATTTTCTATGAGAATGGTAAGGATACTTATTTATTTGTACTGTTACCTTTCCTATTTCTCCTCAGCATTGAACACTTCATCTGTAACCTTACAACTAGATTTATTTCAAGTACCTGGTCGTGGAACATTTTGTAAAAAAAAGAATTCTGAATCAAATTTTTGAGATTTAATTTGAAGTTCTTACTCTTTTCTGATTGTCTTTTCCTTACAAAAGAATAGTTGAGAAAGGTACAAGTAATAATCACTTTAATAAGTGGGTCATATGTTCTGCATATGCCGCATTGACATGTTAACTGTGATTTTTTTTCTAGATTTGTTGTAATTTGAAGAAGAGCACCGTTATATGAATTAGCTAATTTATTATTGTTCAAATAAATGAGAGAAGGCCTTCCTGTACCAAAGCTGTATGTGTAGTTCTTACATGTCTTGTGTCTTATTCAGGCCTTCCCTCATCATTTATGGTTTTTATTACACACATTTTGGCAATTAACTTTGGAAGCAGATGGAAAAAACATAACTAGAGGAGTTCTCATCAAGGTGAAATTGGTCCTATCATTAGCTTGATTAACTTCTGCATTTCAGTCCCCTCTGGTTTAAACTTTGTTCTTAAAAATTGCTGCATATATGCTTTTAGGAAAACCGTTCCTCAAAATACACATCAAGGCTAGAATTGTATGTGTTTTAACCTCTGCCTGTTGAAAATTGGAATGTTTATGATTTTACCTCTTTCTTTTCTTTTCCATACTCTTGGTTTTAAACTATGTAAGGGAACCTTGACTAGCAAGTGTTTCAGATTCCTATACATTATAGTCCAATGAAGTATCAAAAACAAATTTCAGGTGTGCGAGTGTGTGTGTGCCATTGAGATGTTCTTAGAAAGGAATCATCTAATCCTAACATGCATTAAGAGTGACTTTTGAATCTAATTTGTGTGCTCTACAGCTCTGCTGCATGCATATCGTTATAAATTTGGATTCTCAGGAAAAATATGTCCTTGCAAAATTTATGCATTTTATAACAATTAAAAAAGCGGAGGTGAAGATTTTTACATATTTATATATTCAGGTATTTATCTTCCTTGTTATTTTTTCTCAAAAATGTAAAGGGAAACAAATCGAATTGACTATTGTGTGACATTGTATTTAAATGACCTGTTTGTGAACGGTGGACATTCAAAGTGAAACGTTCATAGTTTATGTACGAAGATGATCTCGAGATGATTTGAGAGGTTCTCTCAATCATTGTGGGCACAAAGAAAAATAAATTTAAAAATTGTCAACATTTGTGATTTTGTACCCAGACTAAAACTTACTTATAATGGATTAGTTTTCCTAGTACGACTTTCACTATGGAATACCTAAACTGTGAACTCTGTAATCTTCCAAGGTTTTGTTTTAAAGATCTTTTGTTGGTAAAAAAACATGTGCATGTGAATTATGCATACATGTAAGTGTGCCGAATGATTACATTGTACGTGTTCTGAACATTTTGGCTTTTTGCTTTTTAAGTAAAGACTGACGTTACATTACGAGTAATGGCCATTATTTTTGCAATGTGTCGAAGGATTATCATCAACCCTCTCCCTAATGCTTTGAAAACACTGACTAGTCCAATCTAGTCTGCTCTCTGTGAGGTAGTAATGGAGCCATTTCTGTGGTGCTGGTTGTACAGAAAGTTCATTTTCCTCAAGTGCTTGTACAACACAGCACTTGAAGTGAACCATAGAAGATACCATCAAAACAATACAGTTTTATAAGTGTGCATGTATGCGTGTATGCATTTTTGTAAAGGTTTATGCAGTGCGCAGGAGGAATAAGAACAAGGAAAGAGTAACAAAATAATCATACATTTCTATGAATCTTAACAGGAATAAAAGACATAAAATACAGCAATAAATGAAACTTAAAATACAGTTAAACCTCTAAGCAAATTAAAAAAATCAGGAGAAAAACATTAAAAAATATCAAGTCAGAAAATTTGGCAACAGAAAAATTGTCTTTTGACAATCAATAAAGACATCAAAAACGCAAATATCACAAAATGCAGTGGATAGCAGTGTAGCCATACAGAATTCCTCAACGAGAAAATAATTGCATTGACTTGATGTGAACAACAGGTTATTCAATCTCAACCTGGACAACAACCTAATTTCTAATGTGTCGCATACACACCAAATGGCAGATTTATTCTCAGACCCCGATCTTTATAGTCAGTCTTATAATCGTTACTTTATCTGACAAATAGTCAGAAAAGTGTAATACAATGCTTAACTTACAGGCAAACTACTCATGATGTCTGACCTAGCAGGGATGTGCAGTTCCAGGACCGTGGGACGAACAAATCCCAAGATGAATCCTGTGGCAAATAAAAGAAATTCAGTTTGTTTTATTTTTAAGGGGGAAAAAATGTGAGACAAGGCTACGTGTAACGGGACTACTCACTATAACTTGTGCGCAGTTTTCCCGTGCGAAGTGCTCCATCATGTACAAGCTGACCAGGATGCCGTCACCCAGGAACAGAGACAACCACAGGCCGATGTTGCCCACCGCAGAGGAGCCGTCCTGGCTCACGGACAAGAAGGACAGCAGCACTGGGAAAGGGAAAACAGGGCAGAGCGTGAGATTCGCTCTCAAGGGGCGTGTCTGGGTCCGCAGGGGTGCGAGGGAGACGGAGCTTACATCCGATGATGCCGAAGAAGACGTAGAGCGCGGGGTAGAAGAAGCGCAGCGTGAAGCCCAGGATGAACTCGTGCATCACGGCGGAGATGCCGAAGATGGCGAAGCGCGCCGGCACGCCGCCGAAGCCCATGTGCACCACGTCCTTGTAGATGTACGAGTAGAGCCAGTCCTGCACCAGCACGTTCCAGGTGCGGTAGTAAGCCGAGAACGAGCCCTGGTTCCACCAATCCTGCAGCAGAGAAAGCAAATTAGGGAGCAGAAATATTTTTAGGGGAGAGGTGCGGAGGGCATTAGGTACGAGCCGTAGATCGAACCCATCGAAACGCCCGTGATCTCAGCACGGACTGCTTTCCTACAACAGCAAAGCCGAAGCTGACGGGGAACCAGCCTCACGTCGCTCACCATGTAAAACATGCGATCGCCGAAGCGCATCATCTCGGCCCAGGCGTTCTGCCACGAGTGCAGCAGCAGGTAGAAGCTGCACACGAACGCCAGCCCGGAGGGCAGCACGGCGGCCATCACGTTGGAGAACACCTCCAGCGGGACCACGGGGTGGTTGCCGAAGTCGCGGTACAGCGGCAGGATGTAGCGCTCCGCCAAGAAGCTGCAGTAGAAGACGCAGCCCACCACCTCCAGCATGTGGCACGCCACCACGCGCCAGCGAATCGAGGGGGTCCTGGGGACAGTCGGAGACGAATGTTAGGATTCACAGTCAACAAACCACTGCACTTTCAGATCATCATTATTCGGCGTACCTGGGGTAGTTGTCGCTGTACACGAGCGTGGGCGCGAACATGAAGTACAGGTAGTGCGAGAACCCGGGACAGCTGCCGTCCGTCAGCGCCCGCGGGGTGTTGGAGCGCACGAAGGCGTGGGTCTTCATGAGGAGGCGCACGGCCTCGGTGAGCAGGGCGAAGGACGACGCGAAGGGCATGGCGTAGTGCAGCATGCGCAGCACGGGCAGCGTCAGCAGCGCCGCGTCGAACACCAGCAGCGCCGCCAAGAAGGCCCAGTCCCAGCACCGCCGCGCTGCCGGAGAGCGAGCAGAGAAACCGTCAGTGGAAGGTCTCGGTCGCACTCACGGGGCGCCCCGTGCCGGTGGGAGAGGGACAGGGCGAGTCCGCGCTGGAGGCCGAAGCGCCCGATGACCGCGGGGTAGGCCACCCGCCGCAGACGCGCGCCGCGCGGCACAGCCTACCCCGAGTCCTGCGGGCGCTCCTTGCCGGGCCGTCCGGGACGGGGAGACTCACCCAGGACGGGGAAGTGCTGCCGCCGCTGCGCCCAGTTGGTGAAGGCCACGTACTGGACCATGGTGGCCAGCATCATGACGAGCCAGATGGTGATGACGCGGTGGAAGCCGCCGAAGCAGTGCCAGATGAGCCCCACGCTCATGTTTATCCTAAAACAAACACTCTTGGAGAAAGGACGCCGGGGAAATGGTTCACGGAGCCGGCCGTCCCGCGCCCACACTTACGTGCCGTGCGCCACCAGGTCGTCGACCAGGGTCTTGAGCACCAGGATGATGAGCACCACCACGGCGACGTGGTAGATGGTGCTGATGTGGTTCACGGCGAACAGGTCGGTGAGCGGCGAGTTGCGGACGGCGAACTCCTTGTCGCGGAGCTGCTTCTTGGCGTTCTTGCCGGGGCTGGCGGGCGCGCTGCCCTTGTCCTTGGGGCTGCCGTTGAGGCTGGTGTACCCGTTGGCGTGCCCGTTGGCCTGCCGCCGCGTGCCCCACGACGTCGCCACCGCCCCCGTCTCGGGCACCAGCGACGGCCGGTTCTCGCGGAGCGTGTCCCGTAGGGTGGCTCGCAGGTCGCGGATCTGGTCCTCGGCCGCCTGCACCGCCGACGTCATCGTCTGTGGACAGGACATTTAACTTGAAATGCAAATCACAACTCCCACTGACAAAGAGAAAATTTAAGAAATTCCGCTGGGGAGGCGAGGGGGAGGAAAGTCGTCTTTAAATGTCTAAAACTTCCAATAATTATTTTCAAAAAAAGAGACAAAAGCAAATAAAAATATAAACAAATTAACTATGTTGGCAATGTTGCAAGGGAAAGACTTGACGATTATTTCTCTCTCAAATATGTCCTTTTGAGAATGTCCAAGAAAATGGCCCACCTTGAGTTTGTTGTAGACTTGGGGCGACATGGCGACGTTGTCGCGGCCCAGGTCCCTCCGAATGGGGGACCGGTCGCGGGCGGGAGAGAGCCGCCCGTTGGGAAGGTATTCGCTACCTGTAAAAAAAAAAAACAAGTTGAACTCAAGCATTTAGCCGAAGACGATGCGACAGTAGTGTTCAAGTACTGTACACACGGTTGTGTCCGATGACCCTAGTCAGCGATTTGGTTAATAGGAGTGGGGAAACCGCCCAAACAGAACAGTACAGGTCAAAGTGAGGCCATGATGAGGTCGAAGGATGTCATTCGACGTTTGAGTTAGACGTCTCAGAGCTGGCGGCGCGGGGCCGGACAGAAGTGGAGCCTCTCACTCGCACTCAGTGACTCGATCACTCCTCAGAGCGCCGTCTTTTTCCACGCGAACCTAGTCCGGCCTGCCGGCATGCAAGCCCTGAGCCAGCAGCGATGCGGCGAGCGGGCACCAAGACAACCCCCTCAAGGCCGTTTACAGTGCACTCGACGGCGGCACCGCCTTATCTCGTGTCCTTGCACCCATCGCACATTCACTGGGCCGAAAAGTTCCAATTGGTAGCGGACAAACATCTCAAGTCCCGTAAGCCGCCGGCGGGCCGCCGCCGCCTTGACAGCGCGACACCGATACGGACCGGCCGGCCAGGTGTTCGTCTGTCTCTCTCGCACCGACCAGGGACGCCCCACGAGCGCGAGAAGGACAGTGCGACGAGTGCAATGAGCGGAATCTAGGGAGTCTCGCCGCGCACCGGAAGGCCTGAAGGCGCACACGAGCGTCTAGCCGGGGCTGAGTCAGGCAGGCCTCGGTGGCCCTGGCCGGCGTTTGTAGAATGGGGGATCTCGGTGAGCTTGGCGTCGGGCCGTCCACAACGGTTCAATGCGATCGCCGCGAGTGCCAGTCTCCCGCAACCAAGGCCGATAACGTGCCGATACGAAGGCGGAGCGGAACGGGGACCCGAATGTTACATGAACTATTACAAAAGTTTGAGGGGCGGAGGCCGACGAGGCACCCCACGCGGCCGGACTACGCCGTCAGACTCACCGGTGCTCCGCAACTTGACGGCCTCCAGGCCGTTGACCACGTTGTTGTTGTCGTGGTGCGTGGGAGGGTGCTGGCCCTGGCCGGGCGCCGCCTGGCCCTCGTCGAGCAGCTGCATGTCGCCTTTGTTGCCGCTGTCTCTGTCTGGGTCTGCGTCGTCCACGCGAGGCTGTCCGTCCGTCTCCGTCACGCTCCACGCGGCGCGCGTTGTCCCTCAGGTCGACGAGTGGGCGAGTGGCGCGAGTCCCACAGTGCACCCTCTCCGTCCCGACGTCAACGTCTCGACCGACTGGGCTGGACTGGGCCGGCGGACTGGGCTCAAGATTGACCGGCGGCTGCCAGCTCAGTCCGCGCCGCCGCTGCGCTGCCGGTGGCTGCCTGCAGGCTGCCGCCCAAGCGTGCGTTTTGCTTGTGTATCGGCGCTCCGTCCCTCTCCCTCTATCGTGCGAGAGAGAGAGCGGCAAAGCACTTTTCGGAACCAGCCGCGTTTAATCTCAGCACCTATAATTTGCCTGGGTTTCTGCGACGAGGGAACACCTCAACACTCATGGACGCACCGCGCATTGCGTCCATGAGTAAGCACTCGGCCGCATCCTCGGCGGTGCAGCGGTGCACAGTGGGCCAGAGGACCGGTGGAGGCGGCCAAAACTCGAGACGCTTTATGAGCTCCAGAGTCGCTAAATGGGACTCGAATTGAACGTGTTCAACGTGCTCGTTCAAAGAGCAATCCGTTGGTGGGGTCACACGTTCGGTTCGAGTCCTGTTGAGCGACTCTGGAGCTCAAAACGCGTCTGGAGTTTTGGCCGCCTCCACCGGTCTTCTGGCCCGCTGTGCGGTGCAGTGGCGCGCAGAGACGGCCAGCTTATCACTGGTGGCGACGGCGCCCAGGGAATGGGGTGGCGTCCCCGTCTCTCCATGTCCCTGACTTGACATCCCTATGCATTGGTCTTATGACCTGCAGATTGCAAACGTGCGGACCATGCACATCTAAAATCGGAAGACAGTGAAGGCGGTAACACAAAGCGTCTTGAAGCGGGGGTCATTTTTGAGCAGCTTCTGTCCTCCGGCGCCTTTGTCAATAGTATCATTGTTGGGCTTTGGGATATCTCCCGTGCGAGAGGCGCTGCTCTTCACGGTCGAGGTTGTCGGGCAGGCGCGGGCAGGCGCCAGTCTGCAGGCGCAGCCTGGTTCGGAACACTGCTCTCTCGCACTCATCGGGGCGTTGGAGTGCGAGAGAGACAGCGACAGCACCACTGTTCGGACTCGATCCGCCGCCCGGTGCAGGCGCACTGGCATTTATTGAGAGGACTGACCGAAGATCGAAGATCGAAGCACGCTCCAAATACTACTTATCAGCGTTTTATCTGTGTGCGTGCGCGGGCGGGCCGCCAGCACTACATCGGCTGGGCAACACCAACACACGCACGCCGCGTGGTCCACAGCCCAGCCAGCCCGGCGCGGATGCTGCTCGCCTGGGCCGCGGCCCGAATCCGAGGGAAGTCCCGCCCGTCCGTCTCTCGCATCCAAGCACGCCCCATGAGTGCGAGAGAGACACCTCGTCCTTCCCTGTCTCAGTGTGCTGGTGCGAGGACGAGTGCACCGGAGTGTACCGAACGCACTCTGGGGAGCAGCTTGCAGAGTTCACACGCATCCCCCTCTTTCTCTGCCTAACCGCCGCTGCCCTCAAACGAGTCCTATGAGGACCGAATCGCTCAGAATGAGTCCAGAGGTCCCCGGGCGCCCAGAGGGGGAATTCCCTTCGTTTTTTGGAGGGGTTGCCGAAATACAGCGCTCCGGGCAGAAGACAAGAGGTACCGCTGTCGTCGTCGTCTCCCTCGCACCCGGGACGCCCCTTGAGCGCGCGAGAGGCAGAGTGACGAGGCCTTCACCTCCGTGGAAATGCACCGTCCGGATTAATCGGTGGGGTTCCGCTCGCGAGGCGTGGCGAGGCGGAAGGCGGAATGGAACGAGAAGGGAGTGGCGAGGCATCGACAAGGAGAAGGAACACGCCACCGATAAGCAGGGGCCACTTCAACGAGCTGACGATGCGGATAGCTCTGTCTCTGTCGCACTCGTGGGGCGACCCGTATAGGGGTCCGTGAGCCGGAGAGAGAGAGACAGCGACGAAGCGGTCCTGCGGAATCAGACGGTCCTCGAAGAGAGGGCAGCTACCGAACCCGCACGATGAGGCAGCACTTGTGTGGCCACAACGTGGTGGCCGCCGAGAGGGATGTCAACACAGCATGCAATGCCCTGTTGCACTCAGGAAAGAAGAGAAAAAGCAAGTCTTTTCATTCTTTTGAATATAGTTTGAAAATTTAATGCAACAATCGTAAATACATTACAAGTAATTAAATATAAATTTGAATGGTTTCTCATCACATGATTTTAGCTTGAATTGGTTAGAGATGGGACTCAAAGTTTTCAAGCAGCATTTGTGCCAATAAACAATGGCACCAGAAGCCCTACCTTCAACTCAATTGAAGTTGCAACTACATTAATAGTTCTTTGATTTTCATCACTCAGATCTTACACAGCAAAAACTGCCCAGGTAAAAACAAGTTTCATATTTTTAACAACATTGGATAAAAATCCAGAATACATAAAACTTTACTTTGGTTTAGTACAGACAGTAAAACATTAGGTGTTAATAATACTAGGTAGTTACAATAAAATGTAGATTTATTTAACAAGTCTGTAGTAAGTCGTTAAGATGGATTCAAACTTTGATCAAAATAATTTCAAGAGGGAAATTTGTGATAGAATAGTTTGTCTGTTAATAAGTATCAAAATTACCCCGAATCCATGTCAGCCTTTCCTAGTATTGGTAGCACCAAGTTTTCCTTGGAACAATCACAAAATGACTACATCTAAACAGTTATAGAATATATCAAACAGTTGCTTTAAAACAGTCTTTTCCTTTGGTGAAAGACCTGACACTGGCATAGAGGCCATAGGGAGCTTAACGAATGTAGGAATCACACAATAGGTGTTGACATTTGAACATTAACAGAAAAAAAGACAGTACAAAAATCTACTTACTTTATGGACTGAGCTAAAGTTTGTCAGTAAAATGTTTGGTCAGACCAAGGACAGCTACTCTCAAATAAGTTTTAAAAATAATATCTGTCTATGTCTCATAAGCCTCCGCGATGAAACAGTAGGAACAAAGCAAGTCACAGAATGAAAGCACCCTTCTTCTGATTACAGAACAAAACAATCAAAATACATAGCACTTAAGGTGCTCTCACACTAGCCTTGCAATTAGCTCATAAAAATAATTCTCAAAATTTTGTAATGCAGACTGCTTAGAACGACTTTCAGCAAATTACAGTGCTTCTCAACAAACCAAACACCCGCTTCATCACATACGCCCATGTTAGGAGGAACCCCCATAAATTTGAGCTCCACTGCTAAAACTATGGCAGATTTTGAGTATGTTTATCACAACAACAAATATTTGTGAAAATACAATGGTAGTTAATTCATTAATATCCATAATCACAAGATAAAGTTGATTGAATAAATTCTACTCATGGGACAGAATGGCACATTTTGTACCCTACAGTCTATGGAAAAAGATTACAGTAAGAACAAAAGAAGATGACTGACCAAGCAGACAATATAAAGCTCTAAAATAAAGCAAAGAGAAAGTGCGGGTGGCTAACAATGGTAATGATTCAAAATGACTAAGGAGTAGACATTTCCCCCACAAAAATGACACATTGACAGCAGACCAGCAAAGTTGACCAGAGCAGCAATATTAATCAGAGTAGACTAATTAATAATGAATCAATAATATTAAAGTACGTATATACACATTTAAGCATTGCAAATTGATTGTGCTCTGTGATTTTATAGCAGCTTTCACATCTAAAATTTAAATTAAAAAAACAACACAACCATTGAGCAACGGTGCATTGAGATGGGGATGCCAGCATAGCCATCACAAAAATACAAGTCTTTCCAAATTTGGAATGGGAGAGTGGAGGGCAGCTTTAACAACAAATTTTCTTATATTAATCTTTGACAAAAATAAAGTCATTAGCCAGATTGTTGGAATGAATAACCGTGTCCACAACTCTGTAACCTAAACTTTCCATATAGTTCTGTAAAGCATCTTTTCCTTCTGGCCCATGAATGAATTCTACAGATAGAACCTGCAATCAGAACATTTAATTACAAACATAACACTTACAGGTTCAAGGTTTTTTTTTTAAATCAATAATTGCAGTGTTAATCATCTAGATCTTACCTTAATATTTACTTTAGACCATGGTATTGTTTTAAGTACATCCAATTCGGCACCTTCCACATCTAAACTGAAATAGTCAATTGTTGTCTTGTCAAGTGCAAGCAAAAATGAGTACAGCGGAAAGCACTGCACGTCAACAAAGCCCGATTGTGAATGGCCAGCGGGGTATTCAGAAACTTGACCCATGTTAAAATTCTGCTTGAAAGATACCTGCAAAGAAAAATAGTCCTTAGTAGACAGGGGTGATAGACACTCTCACATCTCAAAACCTAAAATGAAGTATGAATACTCACAACAGAAGGGTAAGGCTTCAAGGAGAGGCATGCTGGAGAGAGCCAGGCTTTCCTGTGTTTGTGGACCATTGCAGCATAGTTGCTGGGATCTCCTTCAATAAGCAGGCCTGTCCAACCTAAGTACCTTTCAAAGTAAAGCGTGTTTGATCGTATTTCCCCATCAAGAGCACCACACTCAATAAAGAAACCATTGCGCTAAAAGTGAAGAGAATTAACAATTGTAAATATTTTTTTAATTGGGGTAAAATTTAATTTTAAATTGCATTGCATCATCCATAACACCCACCTTATATTTCAGTAGTTTTTTAATAGTTTGTGCTTGTCCCATACTAGTGTCAAACTCCTCTGGATCTGTAAGATTTAGGGGCACACTTGCTGGAGGTGGAGGTTTAAGATACACAGCACGGATCTTGGCTATGAGGCGATCATCATCTTGTGAAATTGATTTTCCATTCAACCCATCATTATCTGCACAGAAAAACAATAAAAATTTAAAATAAATTTTCTCAAAAGCAGAAAGTTACGATAGTTAAAGTTAAATGAAAACAAGCATATACTGTTGTTACCTATTATAATACTATGGAATACAGGTACAGGCGGGCTAGACCCACGGTGGTATATCATGATGAAACAAACGAGGAGGAAGAGAAGAAGGAGAATTCCTGCAGACAGCAAAAATTTAACTGGTAAAATATATTTTCCAGTGGATGAAATTACTAACAGTACACAGGCACGTCTACCTTTGGTTTTGCCCAGTCTCCATACTGATAATTCCATTCTTCAGCCTGAAATCAAACGCAAATCATGAACATCCTCACATTCACTTTCATCACAATTATTACTGAGGGAGTCTTTAATCTACTGAGATGTAATTGAAAGGGGACTTAATTATTGGCAGGTAGGCTACAGGTCTAAGCGGCTCAAGCCGCGCATGACGGCCTCTTTCGTCATTTGTGCCGGGCCTTCTTGGTTGCTCCTTCCTAGACTGTACTGCAGCCATGTGCCTTGACTTATCAGTCCAGGCACTTCCTGTCCCTATCATGCTTAAAAAAAAAAAAAAACTCTCTCCAAAAGATTGTTTTATGGGTACATATATTAACTTTCTTTTCCAGTTCTAAGAGGCAAGGTCTAACACTTACTCATCATAAATCAATGTGATCTTGAAGAAATGAGGAGTGGTTTTGGTCCAGTAAATGGTTCACTCATGGCTCAGGTGATGATTAATAATAACAGAGTTATGAAGATTTTCTCATTTTATTCGATTTACATTGTAAGTACACAAAAGATGTAAATCATGTCTCCATGATTTTAGAGCTAATGGATTAACATCCATTCAGACCAATTTGCACCAAAAAAGCTGCATGGTAGAAAAACCCTAAAAAACAAACAAAATGCAGGCCAAGCCTTGACCACCCATTTTGAAAACAGTAGTAGTGGTTGGTTATTGACACAAAGACAAAAAGGAAAAAAAAACCTAACAAATATTTTTTTAAAAAGTCAGACTCAATTGTACAGAAACAGGGATTACCCTTCATAACATTGGAAAAGTGATTCAACCCTGTTGAATACAAGTCTACCAAAACAGATTTTTTATGACAAATCAGTGAGGTCACCAGAGCAAAATTAAACCATTGAAAACCAAGCTGTTGCCTGTACTTGAAATTTTACCAAAACATTTTTGGATGTACAGTGCTCTTCCACAACTGAATTAAACTGAAGAAACCACTGCCAATCTTTGACAGTACAAAAACCTAGAATGTAGCGAGACTAAGGAGATCTTTCCTGAGCAAAATAACAACAAAAATTAAATTAACATAACATAATTATTGTTTTCAAGCCAACAACACTAATTATTATTATCAAAGGTATTTAACCTTCGGTCAATGTTTGATTTCGTTAACATGCAAGCATTACAGGGGAAAAACAGAACAAAAATTCATGTCACATTGTAGGTAATTCATCAATCATAAGACAAAAAAGTTATCAATTTAAGCTTCACATTTTAACACGTCTTTGGTCACACCAAGATAATCTCCCAATGACAATGCAGGAACTCTGAAATCGAGGTGTGGATTAATTACTTTGACAAATCTTCCCGGTGATGTGCCCTTGGTATCAACACTGTGTGATAACAGTTGATGATACTGAGAAATGGCATGCAGCATTAGGCGCTCATAACTAGACATGTTCTCAGACACAAAAATTTCCAGGGGATTTTCAACGAAGAAAGTAGTCACTCTCTCTTCCAGATAACTAAGCAGTCCCAGAGGAACTTTGCTTTTCCGTAGAAAAGAGCGAAGATTACGATCCATGTTTTGAAATGCGTCTTCCCCTGAAAGCACCTCTCCCTTATTATCTCTCTTGCGTTGAACCTTTCCTCTGTTGCCGAACTGCATCAAAAGACATTGCTGAGCTTCCTCGCTGCTTTCAATGAATTCATTCCACATAGCCATGGAGACGTTGTCTTTCAATAGATGAGCAAACTGAGAGTCATTGTGCGGGACAAGATCCGTGATGGATACTTCACCAAACTCATCCTCTTCTACCAGCGTCATAAGGGTGCAACTATCTTGGTACCTGCGGGATTTCTTCTTGCCCAGAACCTTGCGCAGGCGGAAGAAATTGGTCGGGATGGGAGGGACACGCGACTTGGTACCCTTTGAGTGGTGAACAACAGGCGGGGCAACAGGGGGAGGCAATTCGTCTTCGCTCGGAGGCTCAGAGGGAATGTGAAGACTTTCGGCTGAAGAGGCGTTAAAAAGCCCCTTGACTGGATCTTCCTTGGAAATCAGCCCCATCGTTACAGAAAACAAACAACGAAGACAGTAGTAGCAGTAGACAAGATGTCAGCTGTGGTCCCTCTTCAAAGTCTTGCGTTTAGCTCCCTTTGCTTTGTGTTTATCGATGCAATGGCTAGGTTCGATGGAAAGCAAAACTCTTCTCGGTCTCTTGTTCACTTTGAAGGACGCGATGCATCAACAAAATAAGAGGAGATCGTTGAAAACGGGCGAAATGTTAGAGGAATGATAAACACAGTTCGACCTCCAACACATTAGACAGCACAGGCAACTTGAAAAAGTAACAAGAGTAAACGACTTACTTGCGTGTAAATCGATACTTTATGCTGCTGTGACACTAAAAATGTATTAAGGTAGGCGCCAGTAAGTATTATTTTTACATATGATAAAGGCACAGCGGCGAACGACAAACCTCTAAACAAGGAAAGTTGGGAACTTTCGTTCAAAGATTGGCAATGCCGTCCGAAACCTCATTTCGGCAAAAAGTTTCTGCGGTCGCAGCATTTTTCACGTTTCAGCGTTGAATTAAGTCGGTTTTCTCACCTGTATGAGTGTTGCAGTCAGGTCCTTCGCCATCAGCACAAATCCTTCAAAAACACACAAAGTTGTTTGATTTTTGAGGGCCGTTCATTTGACAAGCATCTCCTCGCATGCATGCCGACCACTATGTCACGTGACCTTGCACTGCCGTCGTCTGCTGCAGCGGAGAACAGTTGACTGTTGTTACCGTGGAGCGCGTAGTTCAAATGTGTGCGCAATCAGGACAGACAGGCATCCCGACAGTTTAAACTTTCAACGCTTTCAATAAGCACAGGAGCATCAGTAGGGTAACGTTTCAATGAAAGCCATTGACAGACAAACTGCTTCATAATAACCAGGAAGAAAAACTTGAGAAAAAAACAACAGGACCCCCACCCCAGGGCGTACCAACTTTTCAAAGTGAAACTCAGTCAGACTCACTCTCTTGCAACGTTACTTGGTACTTGATGGCCAACAGTTCCAGTGTCTGATCATAGAAGTACCGATTCCTAAGAATTTATCGTCAGTCACGACATCCCTTGACTTAGACGAGGCATTTTGACAAAAAGAATCAAGAAGGCGTTGAGAGAGAGGGGGGCTGAAGACAGAAGTTTCGTGACGTAATCCAAGAGGTCCTGGGCAACACTTTAAAAGCATAGAGAATTTCGCCATTAGCGTTCGCAATGGCTCACCGATTGTTATCATACAATCGTAAATATCAAAATGTGCTATGGAAGAGTCTGTGTAAGGGTTCTCCCGAAAATGTCTGGGTATGTATAAGGAATGGCATCCTTTCTAAGTGCCACTTTGTGTTCAACCCGTCGTCATTTTCTAGGTTATGTATTACATTATATTTATTGCAGTTTTGAGTTAGATTTGACTATAATGAGAGAAAGTGTGAAAAATCTGATCTGCTCAATGCTCCTATCTGAGGTGTTGTCTGATCACCCTACCAGGCTATTGCCCTAACTTACATAATCATCATGGTGCAATAGTTACAGTTTATGTTTCCCCTGAAAACATTTTTGATGTAACAACAGTTGTACTATTCGTTGCACTGATTCACTGTCAGTCTACCAATCGTTCTGGTTTTCAACCTTTCTTTTTGTGCGAAAGGTGACCTATTGCATCATTTCTGCTGACATGAACTCATTCTTGTTTTCATTTTTAGATGCAACGCCAGTTGGGAACCTTTCGAGGTCTCCGATCAACTTCGCCAGTACTTAATGATATACTCGAACGAATCCTAAGCCTATTTAATGAACCTCAACTTCCTTCAGCTTTAAATATGAGTGCTGATAATTCCAAACCACGGAAGAAATCAGGGAAGGAATGGCCAAAACTAAATTTGAACCCGTAAGTCTTGCTTAACGCCCCTTCAGTTCTTATTACCGTTTCCTGGGTCTCTTTATCCATCGTTTTTTTACAGCCTCAACAAAAAAGAGACAGGAAGTGGTGGAAGTGGTGGGAACGAAGGCGATTCTCAAAAACCTAACCCAGACTTTGACAAACTTGCCTTGATAGGTGGAGGTTTGGTTGCTGCCTTTGCAGCTTACTCATATCTAGTATTCTCAAGAAGTGGTGAGGAAATTACTTGGAAGGACTTTTTGAATAAGTAAGTTGTCGAGAGCTTTTTACTTTCATTAGTGAACCTTACAGATAATGCTTATATAATATTGTTTCTTTTTCAGTTACTTGAGCAAGGGTACAGTAGAAAGACTAGAAGTAGTTAACAAGAAATTTGTTCGTGTGATTTCAACTGGGGGTGTAAGTGCTGTAAGTGTCTAGTTGTTAATTTATATATTTATTGTAAATACAATATTTTATATCATAGTCATGTGAATTATTATTATCATGACTCTAACTTTCAGCCTGTTTACTTCAACATTGGAAGTGTAGATTCTTTTGAAAGAAGCTTAGAAAATGCACAAGTGGAAATGAATCTGGATCCTCAGCATTATGTACCGGTAGTGTACACATCTGAAGTGGAAGTTTTAAGAATTGTCCAGGCACTCCCCACCCTACTCATGATTGGTTTGTTCTTTCCATTCAGTTTCTGTTATTCAAATTTTGAAGACTATGCCACAATTTGTTCATAAATTGATGTTGTTCCATTGCCAGGTTTCATCTTTGTGCTCTACCGTAAGTCAATGGGAATGATGAGCCAGGGTGGCCGTGGCCTTTTCAACAGTGTAACAAATACCAAAGCCAAGTTGGTCAACCCAAAAGATATTGGAGTTCAATTCAAGTAAGCAAACTACTGTATGGTAACAATTCCAAAACATCAGATTTCTTCAAATCTTATCTTACCTTTTCTTTACCCATCAAGGGATGTTGCAGGGTGTGAGGAAGCCAAAATAGAAATCATGGAGTTTGTGAACTTCCTTAAAAACCCTGATCAGTATCTTAATCTTGGAGCCAAAATACCAAAGGGAGCCATCCTCACTGGTGAGATAGCACTTCCTGTCATTTAAGTACTACCCCATTTTCTGAAGTCACTTCTATATTGCTTTATGATTTCAACAGGGCCACCTGGAACTGGTAAAACTCTGCTAGCTAAGGCTACAGCTGGTGAAGCCAATGTTCCATTTATATCTGTATCGGGCTCTGAATTCCAAGAACTGTTTGTTGGTGTTGGTCCATCGAGGGTATGTTTGTTTGATAATTAAATTATTGTGGAAAATTTTGTTTCTCTTCAGTTTGGTCTGTTACTGACATACTCTGTATTTCACAGGTTCGAGACATGTTTAAGCTTGCCCGAGATAAAGCTCCATGCATTTTGTTTATTGATGAAATTGACGCTGTTGGAAGGAAGCGCTCCCAGCGAGGCTTTGGGCATTCAGAACAAGAAAATACTCTGAATCAGCTTCTTGTTGAAATGGATGGTAAGTGTGTCGATCACAGTTTTATTTGGATGTCCAAGTATTGACTTTGAATGTTTTAGAGATATTTAGAGCAGTCTGCAGCAGAACAGCAGGATATTTACCAATTTTATTTATTTGTAGGTTTTAACACATCTTCAAATGTAGTTGTATTAGCTGCTACCAACCGTATTGACATGTTGGACAGTGCTTTGCTCAGACCAGGGAGGTTTGATCGTCAAATTTATGTTCCAAAGCCTGACATCAAGGGAAGGTCATCTATTTTCAAAGTTCATCTTGCCATGTTGAAAACATCCTTGGACAAGGATGAACTGTCCCGAAAAATGGCTGCCATGACTCCTGGATTCACAGGTCAGTAATTTCATTATTACCAAGGTAATGGTCTGGTTGTCCCTTTTCCTTTTAAGATTGAACTTTGTTGATGTACTGTATTTAAATTGTAAATTCATTTTTACAGGAGCTGATATTGCCAATGTCTGCAATGAGGCGGCTCTCATTGCTGCACGTAGCCTTGGTGAAGATATCACTATCAAAAACTTTGAAGCAGCCATTGAAAGAGTCATTGCTGGATTGGAGAGGAAAACTGTAGTATTACAACCAGAAGAGAAGAAAATTGTAGCATATCATGAAGCCGGTCATGCCATAGCTGGTTGGTTCCTTAAAAACACAGAACCTTTAGTCAAAGTAAGTGGTGAAAGAAGAATTTTTGTTAAAGTGTTGTTTTGTGGTTCCTTGTTTGTAGCTTTTCTTTGGTGTTCTTTGTTTCTTAGGTTTCTATTATTCCTAGAGGCCAAGCCCTTGGTTATGCCCAAGTCCTTCCTAGGGAAATGTTCCTTCAAACCAAAGAAGACATTTTTGATAAAATGTGCCAGTTGTTGGGAGGCAGGGTATCAGAAGAAATATTCTTTAACCGCATAACAACTGGTGCTCAGGATGATCTGAGAAAGATAACTCAAATTGCTTATGCTCAGGTAAAATAAATATATTTATATATAAATTTATTTGAAGGGATGTATTTCATATTTTAAAACTGTTACTTGTGTTACCAAGGTAATGGAGTGGGGAATGAATGAAAAGGTTGGTAATGTCAGTTTCCAAATGCCTCGAGAGGGTGATTATATGTCAGAAAAACCCTACTCAGAGAGCACAGCACAGTTAATAGACACAGAGGTTCGTCAGATTATTCAAAAAGCTCATGAAGCAACAAAGCAAATCCTTACAAAACACAAGGCCGATGTGGAAAAGGTATTACATCAATTTTTAAAAACCTCAGTGGGATTTTCTAAAGGTACATTTAATCAATTTTAATGCGCCTTTCTTGTTTTTGTTCTTTAGGTTGCTGAATTTTTATTGAAACAGGAGGTGTTGAGTAGAGATGATATGATCAACCTTGTTGGCAAAAGGCCTTTTGCTGAAAAGACAACTTATGAAGAATTTGTTGAAGGTACTGGTTCATTAGAAGAAAATACTGAGATTCCAATCGGACTGAAGCAGTGGAACAAGAAGGCTGAAGGAAAAGATGCATCAGGAAAAGATGCACCAGGAAAAGATGCATCACCGCCTGAAAAACGTTGAACCTTAATCTTTTGTTATGAAAGTGTGCGACTGTGTGAGGGAAAGTGTATGTAAGTGTGTTTATGAATGTTTCTATGTATGAATTTGCTTGTGTGTAAGTGTGTGAGTGAGACAATGTTCAAGAGAGTAAATTATGATTCATTTTAGATGATTATTGTAAAATGGCATGTGACACTAAATTATGTATTTGCATTTTCTAAGTCTATTTGATTGGGATATTGCTATTGCTCAGGGCCTGTCAGAGATACCCATGTAAAGCAATAATTTAAATCAAGTGTCATTCTTTGAACAAATGAAGTTCACTTTAGCTGATTTTGGCATATGCATGTAGCTTGGAATTCCTTGTTTTAGTTTTGCACATGCTCTTTCCTTTTTCGGAATATTGAGCGGCACCTTGGTTTTGTTTATAATACTTGAGTCTCAAGGTTTTGTTGCACATTTATGCAAACACAAGAAAATAAAAGTTGCATTTTTAATGCTTGCTGTGGAGCAGATTATCTTTTATTTGATGTTGACTTTCTTGTTAAATGTTGAGACTCGTGATTGGTGGCTGTGGTTTCCATCGCAGTTTGGTATTCTCTTAAGAGCTGACGTAGCAGATGTCCTTCTCTCTGACCTCTTGTTGCATAGTATGTATTTCTTCTATTGTCATTGCTTTGGGCGCAGGAGCAATAGTGATTGATCTTGTGAGTATTGTTAGATTTTTTTTTCTTTTTATTTCGAATTTGCCAATAAAAGAGGAACTGTTAATTATTCTTTGTGTGTTCATACTGTATCAATGATCCTTCGCCACGTCGGGTATCGGCAGCAATCGCAGAGCGGCAGAGCCATTCCCTCAGTGCCTGTTCCTGAGATTTGCTCCAGTCAACATGGGACCACATGCGCGTTGCGCGAGGTCGATGAAAAAGAGATCTCTCTCTCCCCAATCAACGTCAATTTTTCGACCAGTAGTTCATCGTCTGGACGGTCTGTTTCGAAGTCAATGTGATAAATCCGAATCCTAACTGAGGTCATCAAAAAGATCCAATAACCGAATGAGACCTAAGGGAATGACCACCAGTGTACAGTACACACAGGGCGGGAAGATGGATTCCGTTGCTTCCACGGTACCCCGTAGTTATACATCGTCGCACCCCACATGTCCAATTTTACAACAAAAAGATTATATAGAAGCGGGAAGTAAAAACCACAGGTGTTGAAAAGAGGCGAACCACCGATTTCCCCCCATTCTTTACCGAACACCGGGAAAGACTCGACAGTGATCGATTTAAAAACAGTGGTGCCCTGGCAGCGCCACCTGCTGGGCCGGTGGCCAAAACACGAATCAACGGCAGTCGGCACGGCAGTCGTCTGGAGACCGGAAAGGACGAGGGTCAGGAGTGAACAACGTCAAATCCCACCCAACTGACGCGACGATTCGGTCAACGCTACATCGAGCTCTTCAGACAAAGTCCTGCCGACCCTCACCATCCTATTTTGTTCCAATCCCTTCCAACCAGCGCGATGGACAGAAGACATGGTCCACTGAGGAGTAAGTTGCCGTGAAACTCACCCTGCCTCATTGATCCGCTTGTCACCTGTTGCACACCTTTGAATGGGACCTTGTTTTGATCCGTCCAATTCCAGGCTACCGCTCGGTTGACAACTGGCCCTCGCTCGGGCCTGTGACGACTGGTAGGCGGCCGAGTCCGTGGCTCACGTTGCCTCTGCAACTGAGTGCCTCTGCAACTGCAACGACTTCGCTTGGCACCGCATCATCTTCCATGAGGACCAAGACCCAGCGAGCAGGCAGAGCGGGGCACGCCCGGCACTACGGACACCGTTCTACTGGGGCAGGGGCCTCCCGCTATGGTGCGTTGCCTGCCTCCACACACTCACTCAAATTCTTACCTTACCTTGTACCATGGTCAATTCACTTATTTCACTTATCAGGCGATTCTGCATCTGCGTTTGATCTGGGAACATTTCACTTTCGTCAGTTCTCTGATGACAGTGGGTTTTCTAGCTGTGGCTCTAGTGCCTCTAGTGTTGCTGACGAATTCGAAACCCCTGGTCACCTGCTGTCTGTCTCAAAGACACCCATTTTCTCGGAGCGCCCCTCTAGGTGGAGTTCTGCGCAGGTTTGTGGCGCTCAATCTGACACAGTCGCTTCAGTCTTGGCAGCAGGTGTCTCCGACTCTGAGGAAACTGACCACTGCGAGTCCGATGATGTAAGTGTAGAGGGAATAAAATTTAATTTAAATCATACTTATTGTAAATTTTAATAGGTATTTTTCTGATTGTTTTTCTAATGTGATACTTTTACCATTAGGATTTTGATACCAACTTTATGGACAGAATGAAAAGTAACCGATTTTATAGCCCTTTATTGAAGACACATGCTTCTTGGCCACATGCATTGTCAAAATCACATCCTCCCGCAAAGAAAGAAGGAAAACACACCCTCAAAGTATGTACTGCTTCAAACTCACATCTGCAATGTCAATGAAATTAATTACAACTAATTAAAACAAATTGTTTCAGGAAAAAATGCAATATAATCTCTTTGGCCGTGACATTCTGGACCTTGGTACTAATTTGGTGACACAATTTCCCTTGAAAGCAACAGAGTTACCTGAGAAAAATTTGTCTTTGTTTCTTCAGAATAGGTCTCAGTACCATCGTTTAGGCAAATTTGGAACAGTTGAGAAGCTTCTCTTTGTGAGTACAACACTGGCTATATTTTCCCTTCACATCAAATTCTCTTGTCATGATTTTTTTTTCCACAGGCCAATTGTAAGGAGGAGTGTGGCTTTACCTACCCCATTCCGCCAGGTGAATATGGAGAAAGGCTTTCCTGATTTTAATCGTTATGTATGCTAGTAGTTTATTTTGACGAATGATCTGTGATAATTCAATATCTGTTCATTACCTAGTAAATTTGACAAGTGATTAAATTATCTTTTCAATAGACCTATGCTTTCCATATCCCTTGAAACCTGCAAACCAATAATAAAAATAAGGGTCTTATTTACAACACCATTTTTAACATTCTAATATATTTTATTGAGATTTCTTTATTATGAAACAATCTTTCATGTCATGCATGTAGAATAAATGGAACATCAGTGAACATGCTATTTTTCAGTAAACAGTAATCACCTCCTAATATAAGTCGCAGGGATAAGAAAGTCTTTCCCCTTACATAAACCTGAGATGTATCACCTTGCTAAATGTAGTCACAACACAATTTAGCATTGCCAATAACATTTTAATGGAAACCCATCCACACTTCGACTTTGAAATAGCACGCCACAATGGAGTGTGGAAAGCAATAAAAGCAGTGAACTAATTAAAATATCAAGTCTGGCAGTCATCATGGAACTTTCATGTGCCACAATTTTATCAAAATGAACATTTACAGCACTCAACCGAACTGCATTTGATTAGTGACAACTTGATCAGCTACACTTGCTACATTGAATGTCACGGAACAAAACAAATGAGAATCATTGTAAAAACTACCTTTACAAAGTTTCATGATTAAGAGGAACTTGTGATGATTAACATGTTCTATTCAAGGACTGGCTTAAAATTATTTCAGTGGAATTAATGAATATTTGACAGCATGAGTAGCGTGGCGACAATGGAAATTTTTTAATGAACATATGGCACGCAACACACCCGAATTAATGTAAATATCAGTACATAAAATGCCAACTACAAATGTTCAAAGCTGTATGTTGAAATATCTGACGTTTTTGTTTGGTTGTTTCTTTTTTCCAATCAGATCTTCACTGAATGATGACATTCAATATAGTTTTAAACAAAAGTACTTTATGAAGAAAATGAATAGGGTGGAAATGTTAGAACATGTTATGTAATGGTGAGCAAGATATTAACAACTCAATTTGAGCCAAGGAAAATGCAAATGAATACATAGCAAGGTGCTACAGTGGTAAGAAGACACTTGTTAGTACCTCGATCAATCACATTTTGCTGCCATATGCAACATCACTTTCTTTAGCACTACAAACTGTAACCATTACAGAAATAAGAACTGAACCTTGAAATCTCTCACAATGTTACCAACAACAAATACTCTAAATAGTAATGGACAAAAATAGAACATCTATGTATCTATTCACACAAGTGGTAGTGGTGGTAACTCAACAAATGATTCTGATGGCCAGTCTTGTTACCCATGAGATGATGGTGACTGGACTTAGTCCTTAAAACAAATGCAGTGCTCCTACATTTATGATACATACCATCACATTTGTAAATGCTTTCGTGATCACATACAAAATTTCAAAGAAAACAATGAAAAATAATGTATATTAAGTAAGAGCCAACACCACCATACATCTTATCTTCCATTTAAAAAAATAATGAAGAGCTACATCATTAAACAAAGTAATGAACAAACAATTATTTTGAGTTTTTTTAACAGGTAAGCCACTCAAAGTGGGACTAGTCATGGTTTTATTGATGCTGCCCAATCTAACCAACATGCTGGGTCGGTAGCATTTGTCATTTAACTTGAAATTAATAGCAGGATATTAAATGTATTCTATGAACACAAAAACACTTCACAACCCAAAATGAAAACGATTGCGCAAACATGAAAAACAAAACTGCTGGTGAAGAAACAAGAACATTTTTGAAAGGAATATGAAGACAAACATTGATGATGCCATATTTATGTTAAACTAATGGAAGTTAAATCATCAGCAGAAAATTATGCACATGCAAATCACATATCAAATATCAACTCTTCAATGAGCAGAAGAGGCAATAAGAAATTAGGTAAAATTAAAGAGAAACTCAGTCAAGTAAATGACAGGAGTACAAGAGTAAGTGGGTGTAGTCATAAGGACAAAGATACAATCAACTGGATAAAGCATTATCACAAGCTGAAACTGTCTGATGGGCATAACATGTCTCATTATAACATCATTTTAAAACAAAACAAAAAAGGAAAACAAACAATCATTTGGCCAAAACATGAAACTGGGATGAAAATAAACAACAAATTTGTAGAAACAATTCAAGGAGGCAAACAACCTGAAGTTCTTTAACAGTTTGCTTCCTTCTTTCCTTCAGTCAATTCAATCCTTTTCAATATCACGTTAAATGTCCTCATAAGAACAGCTAGCCAGTGTACCCACCAAACCAGAACTGAAGAAATTCTAGAAAGCATTAAGTAAACCCCTCCCAAAATAGCACATACAGTTTACAGCCATATTGTTTTAAAATTTCTGTTGGTTGCGATTCACATCCATGAAGTGTACAGATAAAAATATTCTTTACATTTCAGGAAACAAACGAAACTTCAATTTCCTTTTTTTTCTTTTTCCAAAAAGAAAAATGCCAACATAGGATGTAAAATGTAAAGGTGAACATCAGTACAAAAGTTCAAGGCAACAATATCAATTTCGTATTGAAGTTCAATGATCAACAACATGTGAGTACTCAATCTTGATTTGAGTGCTTAAATGAACAAATATTTGGCATTTGGCACATGGTGCCAAAATTGCACATGTGATGTACATATATAAAGAATATATACACATACAAAGGCTGAAATCTGAATATTTACAATGATTGTTTACTACAATGGAAACAAAAAACATCTAACTAGTGATGAATAAGGCTTTGACAGCCTACAGTCCACATGACTGCCAATTGACTGACTTGTACATTGCTGACTACAATTCTGACTGAAATGCACGCTGGCTTGCTCTCACATACTGTAGAGCAATTACAAACAAAACAACCCAAAATAATAAGCCACTTGAAGTCATTATGAGAAAGAAAACATACCCACTGAGTTCAAAATTGAGCTACAATAAACACATACAAACATATGCACATGCACTCACCCACTCACACAAAAACAAAAGTATTTGCAACAAAGGATGATAAAAAGCTTTCAAAAATACAGTATAGCATGAAACATGAATTGATGTTGCCCCAGTGGCCTCGTCAAGCCCTTACGGAATATGTTCTCCGTATTTTGACCATGTGGGGTGCCTGAGACTGATGATGATACTTTCCATGCTACTATGATACATGAATTTAACTCTTAGTCACAGCTTTATTCAGGTACATGTGCTGCAACATTTAACATGGGCTGAGTTATTCTTATGAAATCACAACACTTTTTTTATCATAGTTAAAGTACAAAATAACCAGGAAATATATATAAAAAGAAATATGATAAATTGAAATAATTAGGCCAGAAAGGCAAAATGAAGATGCAATTCAGCACCAGACACCACCACTAAAGAATAAATAAATAAACTTAAACTTTTAAAGTTATGAAAACAGAAAACTCTTCATGCTCGACATGATAAATTAAATGATAAGGTAACATTTGAATCATTGAGCAGACGTCACACATATGCAGGTCAAAGAGGATGCCAATGTTTTGGGACTGATTGATGGAAAGGACTAGTGGTCCAATATGGCTTGAGCATCTTCAAAATTACCTCATCTATAAATCTACCTCTCTTTCATTTTTGTAAAAATTTCTGCCCAGTTTCACTGTCCTGCAATGCCATATGCTTTACAAAGAATATGACCAAAACCAACAATAAACAATTTTTATAGCTGAACTATGTGCATTTATATGTCAACAAAACTAACTATTACGCACAGCTCTTCTTGGATGAAAGAGGTAAAATGCTGTGTTCAACACAACTTTTACCCTAAGCTCTCACATCTTAATCTATGACTAAGTTAATCGTTTTCTCTGTAAGTTACTGTAATCTTAAGGGTGACCAATGATTTAAGATAAAATTAAGTGGATCACCTTTAAACGTAACCCCAAGAACATGATAAACAAATTTAATGAAGAAGACCTCTAGCAAAAGCAAAGTAGATAAAAAAATGATTGTCGAAACATAGCACAACTAACAGAGAGCGCCTAAACCATAAATTCTCAAAATTTCTTTAACTAAACACTAATTTTAACAACATACCAGAAAACTCTTCAAAACATTTGAGAAATAACAGCTAAATGTTCTTTATGATTTTTTTTTAGAAAACAAATAATTTTATGAAAACAAACATAAATGAAAAAAAAATGTTTGAGCATAATATCAACAATTGAAACAGAGCATAGGTTCACTTTACTGCCTTAATTAGTTAACTAGTAGGCCTCCAATCTGATTTTGACGGGCGCGTTTGGCCTCCTCTTCACTGACACGCTGCTCTATGAGGTACTGTGCAGTTTGGATAGCATTTGGCATGCCTGAAATTGTCACAATGCGATTTCTGGTTCCTGGAGCATACTGGCCTTTCTTTGAGATCTGTATCGATGCTCCACTAAGGTGTTGGATTTCCACTAGTGACCTACCCCCAAACCCCAGTATGGCCCCAACAATCAACTCAGGAATCTCAATATCGACCTGAAACAACATAAATTCTTTTAACTCTAGTTTGGGGGCATTTAGGTTTTCTTTCTTTCAGTTTTTAATGTTTTTTTCTTTTTTCTTTTCTGTTTAAAGGCACAGAACCAATATTGTTTGTTTTGATATTTTCCTCGGCGTATTTTAGCCTATCCAGTGATACATCTTAAACTGTACTGTATTGTATATATGATGGATTAATAAATGAATGAATGAATGATTCAATGCATACCTTCCGACCATCCTTTGGATCTGCTGGGGTAGGACTGTGTTCAAGAGATTGTCCACTGGTACCCAGTCCAAATGAGTTATTGTTAAGTGACGTAGAAAGGGCAGAATGAGCTGGGCTGCGGAGGAACATGTCAAATCCTCCGACATCACCTGCATCACCAAACCTACTAGACAAGAAGAAAAACAAAAGTAAGTTAATTAATAATTAAGGGTCAACATAGACAACAGTTTCAAAATTTTATTTCAGAATGCAGACTCACTCTTTGACATTTGTGCGGGGAGTACTGGCAGCAGGCCCTAGCCCAGTAATAGTGCCAATGGGTCCAAACACACCGCTATCACGGCCGCTGGCGAGGCTTGGTACCTGGGCAGGTGCAGAGTCCATTGGAACACCAAGATAGCTACCAGCAGGCAACCCTGTTGCCCGGTGCTGAACAGGGGCAGTTCCGGCAAGCCCCAACCCCATGCCAAGAATTCCATAACGTGCCAAAACGGCCATGGATGCAATAATTTCTGATGTTGCCAAATCAGAATATCCACTGGAGCGTAGTGTAACCTAGCAATAAAAATTTAAAAATTCAAGTAACATAAACCACAGCAAAAGAGGCACTTAAAAGAACCAACACTGTATGATTGATGAACTGACCTTAATGTGTTCCAGTAATTGAGACGTTAGGGCTGAACCAGTCGCTGAATTAGGAGCACTTAGGTTCAAACTGAGATTGATGCCATTTCCTAATGCATTTCCTATGATGAAACAAATTTACAAAAGATTATAGCATAACACTTACTTCAGAGAGGCAGGAAACAGGGGAGAAAATTAAATAGAGTACCTGAGGCAATTGAGTTTAAACTTGTAGTGGAATTGAAACCTGACTGTAGAGTCCCAGGCTGAGAAGGTGTATGTGTTGTGATGGCATAAGGAGAGCCACGAGGATTGAAATTGGCTACAGGGCCAGCAATATCAGCATAGCTCACATTTAAACAAGTACCACTGAGAGAATCCTCCATGACCTTTTGAAGAATCATCAAACATGCCTTCTGGTTCTGATCAAGTTCACCTGTAAAGATAGGAACATTATAAATTAGCATCAGTAAACAAAACAACTCAAACTAAAAAAAAAGATTGCTTTAAGGCCTACTGACCAATAACTGTAATGCAACGCTCTTGGAGAGAGACATCCTTTGCCTTCTGTGATATTTGAACATATGAGCCACTTTCTTCCTTAATTTGTTTGATGTAACTACCACCTTTTCCGATAATCATTCCCGCTGTACTGTTGGGGACTAAAATTTTAACCTGAAAGATAATTGAAACTTGGATGTGAATCACCTTCAAATTTGCCACAGGAGAACAAAACCATGATATATGAACCACATACCTGCTTTTCCCTCTCTTGGCTGATTTTGTTATCAAATGAGTCATTTTGTACAGGAGTATGAGTGGGAGTTGCTTTACTGAAGTCTGGCCTGTCTCGGATTTTTTCCATAATGAAAGTGAGCACTTCCATAATAGATTCTGCATTGCCTGATATTAAACAAACTCGCTCAGCAGTTCCTAAGAAACAAGGAATCATTTCAATAAACCAGAAGAAAAACATTAAGCTAAGCTTGATTTGAACACTTCATTCAACTTGACCGATCAATCACTACATTGAAAAGCATAAACTAACAGACGTCATGAGTAAATTCATTACCTGGGTAGAAGTCTCCAGCTTTTGACATTTTAACACGTGCTTTTGTGTCCTTCTGCAACTGCCCAATGGTTTCACCACCGATGCCAATGATGGCTCCAGCTGCCACACTTGGAACGAGAATTTTGAAGTGGTACACTCCATCATTGCTTCCTCCTGTTCAAACAAGTTTAGATATATGGTTGAAATAAACAGGAAAAGAAAAATGAAATTCTTCATGAGACAGAACACTGTCACCATGCTGTCACCAAAGAGAAAGAAACTCTGACAAAGAAATTAATAAGCAATGGAAAATTGCTCATTCACAGAAAGGACTTTAAAACCAATATGAAATTTAAGCTGCACTTCTTAGGAAAAGAATATCCCAAAAGAAAGCTAACTAGCCGACAACTGTTTCTGTCAATAATCACAATAAATTTGCTTCTTGTCTTCAATCTTCGACCACTAATCACCACACACTTTCATACCATTATGAAAACTGATGATAGTCATCACAAATATGTTCTTTGAACCACAACACTAGAGCTTCGTTGGAAATGGAGGAGTATGTTGCAGCAACTATGTCACTTGAATATCACACCAACACTGTCATCACTGAACACCAATGTTGTGTCACTCTGCAAATCCAGACACCACACATGGCAGGCATCACACAGGCCTGAATGAATCTGCTGCTTTCTTCTTGTCTTCAGAGTGTGCAGGTGGTGCTGGGGACCTCAGACCTCAGCAGTGTGGTGGTGGTGGGAGCAGGTGGAGGGGGAAGCCCTGAAGGACACCTTGTCCAGAACCATGTCCAAAAGATTCAGCTTCCCTGAGCCGTACGGGTACAGAGTATGGTGTGTCTACGTACCAAACTGCATAGGATGTTGCCACATACGCCAGGATGATAACATGTCGGCTCTTGTGTACACACTGATAGCAACAGCTGATCACTGGTCTTCACCAAAACTAGTCTTTATAATCACTCCACCAATCAGTGCAGTCATCAGTTACTGGCATGGCGACTCGACAGTCTGCACCATCAGCACTCCCCCAATTCCAACTTCATGCTCATGTGAACAGGGTCAAGTTCAAATGGATACTAAAGGCCTTCCATCAACACAATTACAAGATTAGGTTGACTTGTAGGAAAATTTTAAATGAAACAAGTGACCAAAACCGAATGAGACATAAATCTTATATGGAAGTTGGGTCTTGGATATTGAGTTGGCAAATGGGACAGATGCAAAGTAAGTCCATGGAGGAAATGTCTTGACCACACAAGCATTAACCTTGAAAATCACAGTCACGACCAGACGCGCCCTGCAAATAGCTGAACCAGCCACCCCAACGCCATTAAAAGAGCGATATGTACCTTGAAGCTTGATGAGCATCTTGGCTGAAAAGACGGACCCAAATTCACCATGTGTTGCACCCGTAGTCTGCAGCTAGCACATCGAAATGGACAACCTAACCTTACTTTCTCAGTGAGACCTTGAAGCCAAACGTGTTACCACGACTATCAACAATACTCAAACAATCGCAGCCGAAAGGGCCGTGCCTTGGGCCAGCCTCTGACTGAGGCAAATCCGGCCGACACGTCCAAAATCAACCCCGCAAACGGAATTGCGACACTGAAATGACAGCAGGTGCCACACAACACATCGATCTTTGAGCAGGCTGGTTCGTAACATGTCACTCGAAAACAAAAGCCTCTTGGCACTATTCGCACAGAGCAGTCTCCGAAGGATTAACCACGACAGCTCTCCAAAATTGTCACAAAATGCGAGCCGGCCTTGCAGCAGCCCGGGGCAGCAGCCCCCCTCGGGGTCCGCGGTGGGCCCCTCCGTTCCGTGGCACCTAGCTTATGTTTCGGCGCGCTTGCGCCCCGCACCGCGGCACCCGCTGGATTTTAAGGCTATTACCTGCACCGTAATGTGACCTCTTCGTCGTCCCATTTTCATCGTTTCCGTCCCACGGCCTTTTCTTGTTTTCCGGATTATCTGGGGACGGACACGTCTCCATTCCCGAATCCGCCGCCATCTTGGATTGCACTGCATACCACATAAAAAAGGCAGGCAGGCTTGGACGGCGCTGGCGGAGCGAAGCGGGGGGGAAGGGGGCGGGGGGCGGAGGGGGGTAGGGGCCCAGCAGCGGACCGAGCCGCGTCGCGCCGCGCCTTGCCGCGCGAGTGGAGAACGGGCACGGGCAGCACGGGCACGGGGAGCGAGACGGGGACGGGGAGCGACGGCACGGCCAACGCGGCGAACGGCGAGGCTATGCGCGGAACGGACTCGGACTCGCGAGGAGCGGGAAGCGAAGCAAGCGAAGAGGGGACCGCGGAGCTCGCGGAGCACGGCCAGGCCTTCAGGGCCTGCAGGGCCTTCAGGCGGGCCGAGGCGAGGCGGAGGCACAGCCGGCAGGGTCAGGGAGCGATGGCGCCGGGGAAGGCCGGGGAAGGCCGGGAGCCCAAGCCGAGGAGGGTGTCGCCGCGCCGGCGTCGCGGGGATCGCGGGTCGCGGTGACCGAGCTCTAGAGGGGCACAGCGTGGCACAGCGTACAGGCCGCACCAACACGAATGTCACACACTATCGTCTGTGCGGCCCGCCGGCCCCGCCGGCCCTGCCAGCCCTGCCAGCCCCGCGAGCCCCCACAGCCCCGGCGTGCGAGCGCGACATACGGCACGGGCCGCCCTCGGGCCGCCGGAAAAAATGGAAACCGAGCCGGGCCGAGCCGAGCCGACGCGTGCATTCCCTACTCCACCGTGGCGGCGTGGTGCAGGCCCGCACAGCCAGCACAGCGCGCACGATCGGCAGCGATAGCGACCATCGTTTGCAGCCCCGCGCGGCCCAGGGCGGCACGGGCCCCAGGCGCCACCCCCGCGCGGCCGGCCGGGGCCACCTGGGGCCTCGGGGCGAGCAGGGGTGGGCGGCGCGCAGCGGCACAGTTCTGGCGGCCACAAAAACACAAGAACGCACGCACACCCACGGCCGGGGCGAGGGTTCGATACCCGGCGAAGCGCGTGCCGCACAATGGGCCGCGTTGTTATGCTGCCGGCGTCGTGCACACCGTGCACACGATGATGGCGTGGGCGGGGTCAAGAAGTCCTTGGGGGCGGTCGGGCAGCCCGGCCCGCCCAGCCCGCCGTGACTGTCAAGACCCTACCAAGGCCGACGCGGCGGCACGGAGGGGCTTGCAGTGCGGGGAGCAGGAAAAGGAAGGGTCCTGCGCGCTGTCGCACTCACGCACGCGCGCTCTCAAGAGGGAGCAGCGGGAGGAAGACCGAAAAAGCAAAATTTGGTCGACGAATCCCTGGAAGTTGCGGACGTTGCCACTGTAAAGGACTCCGTGCCCGCTCCTCCCTCCAGAGAGCACCTTCCGTGGGCGACAGTGCGAAGCGTGCGAAGCCGAAGCGTGCACGCCATGCCGATTGGGCGAGCCCGGCGTGCCCGGCGTGCCCGGCGAACCGCCCCCAGCGGGCCCAGCCAAGGGCCCGGCCAAGGGCCCGGCGGCCGCAGTGGTCGAAGGCGGTCAGAGCGGCCACGCCACTGTCGCGCTGTCGTGCTGTTCGAGGGCGCAGGCGCACCGCTGCATCGGCAAAGTCGTTAGCTTGGACGGGCTGGGGGTCTCTCTCGCGCTCATGGAGTGGCCCGTGAGGGTGCGAGAGAGACAGAGCGCCGCTGCTGCCCCGGCCTGTGCGCCTGCAGTGCAGGCCAGCGCAGACTAGGGCTCGAACAAGTCCGCCCTGGAGGCGCCCGATGTGTCGGCGATAGGCAACCCGCACGCTCCGCTGCAGCCGGGCTGCCTACCTCGTTGTTGCAGGCGTTCTGTTGGTTCTGTCCGGCCCGCCACGCCGCCACCGCGCCCGGAGGCAGCTCTAGGCGGACTCTACTCGACTGGGAGCACGATTTCCCACCAGGTGGTCCCCAAACGCGTCGAATCAGACCGCCAGACACACGACACCGGGACCTTTATTCGAGCGAGGAATGTTTTGGTCTTGGATTCGAGTCCTCTAAACGTGTCCGCCGAATCTGGCCTCAGATTGAACGGCCTCGGCGTCATTCCGGATGCTTTTATCAATCAATTAAAGTGTGCAGCTTCTGTGTACACTTAGATAACGACTATGTGTAGCGGTTGTCCGCGACCAGTCCGTGCTCGGCACTGCAGACTGATTCCGAGAGGCGTTTTCGTCGCTCTGTTCCTCTCGCACCTGTACGGGACACCCCGTGAGTGCGAGAGGGACAGAGCGACGCAGACGACTCCCGGAATCAGTGTGCCGGCGGGGAGCACTCGAACGGCAAGCCGAGGCGGCTTATCTCGGTCGGGCGGCTCGTGCAGGGCACTGCCAATGGCACCGCGGACGAGCCGTTCCAAAGGGTCGCTCTGTCTCTCTCGCACCCCCTCGGCACGCCCCGCGAGTGCGACAGAGACAGAGCGACGGTGCGACTCTTCGGAGCCGCTCGGGAGGCACGTCGCCGGCGGGCGACCGCTTTCAGATGCAAAAGAAGCATTTACCGAGGGGAAAAAATGGGCCTGTTTCGGTGGGCGATGGACAGCAGTAGGAAAAGCCACGTGGAGAGCAGCGAGGCCGGAGGGGAACTCCGCCAGACCAATTAAGTTTTGGTGAGGCTGGGTTAGCCTGTGTCTCATAGACCACGCGGATTTCAACCGGGTTTCAACGAGGAACCCGCCAGAGATACTGCTCTGATTTGACAGTACAACCCGCACTTGATTGACGCACGGACAGCGCGGAGCGGAATAGGAGCAGTGGGGAGGGGTGACATTTGCTCAGGTGTGTTTGTTGCTGCGCCACGCGAGCCACACGTGTGCACACGTGCCCGCATGCATGTGGCGAAGGGCCGCGGCGGGGCTATTATTACCCGGGGAGGGACACGAAGGGACGCGAAAGGACCCGAAAGGACCCGAAAGGACCCGAAAGGACGCGCGGGGGAATCGTCGAATTGCAGTGGAGTAGCGTTTTCCAAGCAGAGACAAAGGCACCTGTCGCTCGCCGATGTTGTCTTCTCGGTTTTCAAAAGTTTCCAAGTCTTCAAGTTTCCGAAGTTCAAGGATTCCAAGGTTTTTTTCCGGGTTTGAGGCGGGAGGATGGCTTGCGGCCTGACTGACGGCACCGCGTCTGGCTTGGTGACGGCCCCCCGCCGCCCCCGCCTCCTTCGCCTTGTCTTGGCCCTTCCGGAGGGAACCGGAAGTGGAAGGTCCTTCTGCGGGTTATCTTTGTTCGCCTTTCCCCCTCCTTCTTTGTCCCTTTTCCCTTTCGCCGCGCGACGGCCAAATGCGTCGTTAAAAGTAAATCGGAGAATCCCGGGTAGCGCGTTCCATCCAAAATTTCCAGAGGCATCTTTTTATATACGTTTTGGTGCTATACCTGCCGGAAACTCATAAAAATTAAGAAACAACGGAGGTTTCGGAATTTTCCGAAGACCGGAGGCAACTCTTTTTTTGACGACAAGTCCTCCGGAGATTTTCCCACATTTTTATTTTCACAGTGCGCGCGCAGCAGCGCGCCGCCGGTCCTTGAAAGCCATTTAGTGAAGGCGGTTGAGAAAGAGAGAAACCGTCACAAAACCAACGCGGCCTCTCTGGGCGCAGCGCGCTGGGCCGGCCCTCGCGGCACGCGGCACCGCAGCGCCGCGGCAACCGCAGTGCAGCCGCAGTGCAGCCGCACGAACGCGACGTCGGGGGGAGTCGGCGGCAATGTCGGTCGCGATATTTGTCCAGCCCAGAGGATCATAGCATTTTCTTGTCAGGAAGGGCTTTATTTTTGGCTGCGGGGTCGCGATAATTTTCAGCCGCTTTTTATGGGTCGCGAGTAGGATAAGGTTGGCGAGAGTGAGAGAGCACGAAAGCGCTGTTTGGAATTGTCAGCTTACGCTCAGCGGCTCGCGTCGGGTTGCCCTCTCTAAGTAGCCCGTCCTCCGGGTAGCCTGGCCGTGCCACCCCCTCTCTCCGTCTCTCTCTCTCTCTCTCTCCGAGACCGTCGATACTCCGACGCTGTCCTCTGCTCCGCCCGGCTAAGTGGCCATGCCGGCGGCCATGCAGGCCACCTTGCTGCAGTGCAAAGTGGGGGCCCCGTCGTCCGCCGGGCCGGGGCGGCCGGGGCGGCGGGGTGGCCCTCGGATGCGGCATGCGGCATGGCACACTGCAGTGCAGCGCCACCGCCCCGCACAATAACGAGATCCACCGTCCTGTCCCCGGGTTCGAATACCGGTTCGGCGCGCCTATTTTGCATGCCGCTGTTGTCGCGGAAAAACACGGCTGAGAGTGCGACGACGCGTGGCCGCTGGCCGAGCGGAGCGCGGAGCAGCGCGGAGCGCACACAACACACCGCGCCGCGCTGGACAGTGGACACACAGGTGGCTGTTACGCAACGGCTGGAGAGGCGACGCGGGGGGGGCGGGGGGGGCGGGGCGGGCGGGGGGGCGGGCGGGCGGGGCGGGGCGGGGCGGGCGGGGCGGGCGGGGGGGCGGGGCGGGGGCGGCGCGGCGCCGAGCGCCTTTCGAGTGGGCGCGCATACGCAGAGCCGCGGAGCGCCACGAGCACGCCACGCCGACACGACACACCTTGCAATCCGCATGCAGCTGTCCAGTGTCCATGACACTCCTGCCGACCCGGCCGGCCGGTGCCCCCCCCCCCCTCCCCACACGCGTCTCGTACGGATTTCAGAAATCTCCGCACTGCAGGCTGCCTTATGACGACACCCCGCAGCATTCCGAAGAATTTGCGGGGCTTTACACCGACCGTTCCAACGGCTGTCGTGAGTGCCACATGCAGTTGGTCGTCGGAATGCCCACTGCACTGTAACTC